CCTGTTAGCCTGACCAGCATAGTAGTTAAGTTACTTGAAAAATTAATTCGGGCTAAGCTACTGAGTCACAATCTGTTAACTCCCGAGCAACATGGGTTTCGTAACAAGCATTCATGCTTGACTAACTTACTCATTGCGAGAGAGGATTGGACAGCTGCCCTAGACAACGGCCTGTCTGTCGACGTGATATTCATAGATTTTAGCAAAGCGTTTGATAAGGTTTCACACTTAGGTCTTATGCAAAAGCTCTCGAGCTTTGGAATAACAGGTGCTATACATGAATGGATAGGAAGCTTCTTATGTGACCGCAGACAGAGAGTAAGGGTCAATGGAACGCTATCCGAATGGAAACCGGTCAAAAGTGGTGTACCCCAAGACACCATCTTAGGCCCTTTACTTTTCCTTCTGTATATTAATGAACTACCTTTATTACTTAAGTCGTCGACGTTATTGTTTGCGGATGATGTTAAAATTTGGAGAACAATAAAAAATGAGACTGATCGTTGTTATATGCAAGCAGATTTAGTAAAGGGTCTTTCTAAACTCCCCTACGATGAGCGTTTAAAACGTCTAAATCTTTTCCCCTTATCTTATCGTAGGACGCGAGGTGACCTTATACTGGCATTTCGTATCTTTAATTATGATCTGGGTGTTAATTTGTCTTATCTTTTTGCTCCCTCCAGCACTAATAATCTCCGAGGTCATAGCAAGAAGGTTCTGAAACCGCGATCTAATAAACTAAAGGTGGGTCCCGTTTTTCTCACCGAGTGGTCAATGACTGGAACGCTTTACCAGAACAAGTGGTATCAGCACCATCAGTGAACATTTTCAAGAAGAAGCTGGACCTTCACTGGAAGGAAATCTGTCAGGATTAACACAGGTTCATCAACCTACTATCCTTATTACTGAAGACTGAAGATTCCAAGTTAGCGCTTGCCTCGTGATGGAGTTTGATGATTTCTTCAGTGTATGTCGCATTCACTTCCAACGTCTTTTCCTAATTTCGTCTTCAGCTGAAAGATGGTTTGTTCTCTCCCACAGTAGGTTGTTGCTGATGGTATCCGGCCAACGGAAATGCAGTATCTTGTGTAGACAAATGCTTATAAATACTTGAGCATTTTTGATAAGTTTCAGCTCAGTACAGTAGAACTGTCTTGACGTTCAGATTGAAATTTCTGAATTTGATGTTAGCTGACAGTTGTTTTGAGTTCCATATGTTCTCCAACCTAAGAGACACTGTTCTTGCTTTCCTAATTCCCGTATTTGCGTTTACATCCCAGGTAAGTGAATGTTTCCACCTCTTCTAGAGCTTCTCCATCAAGTGTGATTGGTTTGATGTTCTCCGTTTTGTACTTGAGGATCTTGCTTTATCCTTTGTGTATGTTGAGGCTTAATGATGCAGAGGCTGCTGCTACATTGGTTGTCTTCAACTAAATTTTTAGTTTGTTCGTGTGCTCTGATCTTTCTTTGGTATCTTGGTGAGGTGTCCTTCTTTCCAGTCTGTCTGTGGTACTTGTTCTTCCTCAAAAATCTTCTTGAATAGAACGTAAAGCATGTTTGCAGTTACTACTATGTATGTGTTCAGTGCTTCAGCTGATATGTTGTCAGGTCCTGCTGCTTTCCCATTCTCGATTTGTCTGATGGCCATCTTTATTTCTCCGATCGTTGGTGGAGTGACATCTATGGTAAGGTTTGTGTGTGCTGCTTCGATGTCCGGTGGATTCAATGGGGCTGGTTTATTCAGCAGTTCCTCGAAGTATTCTACCCAACTGTTCCTCTGTTCTTAAATCTCAGTGATTTTCTTTCATTCGTTGTCCTTGTTAGGTCTCCAGTTTACTATATTTCCCTGCTGGTTTTTTCGTCGTGTTCTACAGTTGTTTCATATTTTCTTCTGCTGCAGCTTTTTCCACTGTCGTTGTTAGTTCTTCCATGTATTTCTGCTTGTCAGCTCTAATGCTGTCTTTAAATTATTAGTTTTCTTCTACGTACCCTGCTTGTGCACTGACTTTCTCTGATCGTGTTCGATTGTTGTTAATTGCTGTCTTTTTCCTATCTTGAATGTTGCGTAGGTTTTCCTTGGAGATCGATTCCTTATGACGATGCTGCTTGCCACACATCACCTCTTGACACGTTGAAGTTAATGCTTCTTTGATACCTTTTCAGTTGTCCTCCATCGTAGTTTCCTGTTTTTTCAGTAGATCCTGTAGAGCTTAGAACCTGTTGTTGAGAGTTATCTTGAATTCGTTAAGTTTGTCAGCATGTCGAAGGAAGTCAGTATTGAACCTTTTTAATGCTGTTCCCCAGTTTTCCAGTGTTTTTTAGCTTCAGTTTCATCTTGGCCACAACCAACTAGTGCTGATCTGAATCCATGTCAGCTCCTCTTCTGGTTCTCACATCTTCCATTGTCCTTCGGAATTTTCTGTTGATACAAATATGATTTATCTGGTTTACTGTGGTGTGGTTTAGTGAGATCGATGTTGCTTTTTGTGTGAGTTTGTAGAGGAATACTGTGCCGCCTATAACCAATTTGTTGAATGCATATAGATTTGCAACTCTCTCACCATTTTCTTTCCTCTCTCCTAGCCTGTCCATGTCGTCCCATGATATCTTCATATCTTGTGTTGTCCACTTCGACTTTGGCGTTTAGATCTCCCATCAGAATGGTCAGGTCCTTTCTTTGGCACTTCTCTATGATTGATTGCAGCCTCGAGTAGAACTGATCTTTATTGTTGTCGTTGCTATCATTGGTGGGTGCATAACATTGAATAGCATTCATTGTGATTCCCTCCTTCTTTGTTTTGTGTGATGCTTTGATGATTCTGGATCCGTGAGATTACTTTCCTATTAGTGTTTTTCGTGCTTCTCTGGGTGGCATCAGAGCAACTCCCTGAGTGTGTGGTCATGTTCTTCTTCGTAATCACAGTGGGAAGACATCTCTCCGTAATCTATCCTTTTCTGTCCAGTGTTGGTCCAACAGGTTTCGCTGTTTCCGCGTACTACCAAGTTGTATCTCCTTATTTCTACTGCTATTTGACTGGTCATTCAGATCTCCCACATTGTCCGGACGTTCTATATACCTATAGAAACTGTTGCTTTGGTTGTTAGAAAGGGAATCGGCGTTGTGACTTCCGAAAAACCTCGGCTTTTATTATAAGGCGTCATAATTCTTCCTTCAACTCACAGGATAAAGTTTAAATGGTTTGAATTATTTTTTCTGGTTAGCGTTTTTTTAACGGTTTAGTTTTCTACGGCATAGGGTCGCTTACCCCATGCACAACCCTCCTCCTTTACACAGGCTTGGGACCGGCAGTAACTTTAGAAAAGCTACAGGCAGAGTTTAGTTTGTATTTAAGAAAGACTCAAATTCAGTGTTTATCTAGTATGGTTAAACAAAAACATACAAATTATATACACAGACGACCATCTATACATATTGTTCGTATGAAGGGAATGTAGATGACACTTCCATTGTCTGTGACAATAAATCCAATTTGAATGATATTCTACACATCTTGAGGATCCCAAACATCAATTAGATTTACTCTTGAAGAAAAAATGTTCCAAACTTCCACTCGTTTAATATTGAGGTGGTGAGATGTTGAGATGGTGAGATTGAGAGTCACGAATACCTGTTTATAAGAAACCTAGATGTAATAATTAGTTATTAATTTTGTATACTTAGGTCCATATCGGTAGGAAGAGAAATTTTAATAAATTCCTCCTTACTTGGATTAAACGAATATGTACTCCCAACTTTATGGATGAGGACTTGACCCTTTTTAAGAAGGACGCTGACTGAAAATAAGCTGCCACCGAGATTCATTTATGAATGCATGAATCCTATATGTTTAGGGAAATCTGTACTCATTGCGCCAAAGAACTAATGTCGACTTTAAAAGCAATTGATTTACTGATATCCTGAAACAAGATTGATATCTTTGATGCTATTACGAGTTCACCTTACTAGGTAAACGGAACGAAGGTCAAAGACACAATGACATGGTAGGCTATTCTAATCCATTGTCCTCGGCCCTGTTAACGAGATCAAGAATTCTTGATGAGGCGTAGAGAATGTATTTCACAAGCACCCAGAAAATACGAGGTCACTAAGCACACAAATCAAGCCTATTTATATAATGATAGAAATGCTCTTGGGTGAGCCACAAAATAGCGTAATAAAAAAGTCCGCCAACCAATGACAATCAAGGATTGCCGAGTGAGAAATGTAAAATGTAATTCAATCAAGCTCCTCTTGGTGCGAAAACATGAAATTCAAATTTTCAGAATAAAAATTACAAAACTAGGACCTTTTCTAAGTGAGTTCTGGCGATCTAACGTCCTCAACAAGGATCTCAGATGCTATTAGTAGGATTTTCTTTAATACAAAGCTGAGAATAGTATTTACCAGCCAGCCTTTATTTATAAAAGGACAAAACAAAGCGTTCGAACCCTTCAGTATACATTCATTAAGAGGCTGAAAGTAATAGAAACGAAAGGTTAAGCCTAGATTTCTTGCTATTTGACACTCATCAGTAATGCTTACCTGAAACACAAAGTCACTTGTGTCGAGTTATAAATATTCAGTATTCTACTATCTCCTACGTGACTATGGATTCGTCTCTATATACATAGAGCAACAAGAACAAGAAATGGTTTGTCTAATCTTCTTATTTTACCATCAACTTGAATTGTTAATCTCCATTTATCAACTTATAATTTAATTTAATTTATCTGTACTTTTATTAATTTCATAGAAAATTTATGGATCATATACTCTTTGTCTATTTTTTACACTGCAGTCATCTTAACCCAACAAGGTTTACTTTTATTTTTATATCCTAATTAAATATAGTTTATTTCCTTCCTAAACATATCAATCTATCTATTTGTTACTGTTCACATTACATGATCATTATTGATATTCATCTCCATTCACTAATCCTAAGTAGATTATGTAAATTTTAAATAAGTGATCTCATTACAACAACAATCTACAATTCATTTTTGTTGCCTCCTTGTTAATCATTCATTTAGTTGACAACAGTTAATTCATTTACGAAATGAGTGCAATGAATGGATAAACGTCATTAAAAAAAACAAAAAAAAACGAAAAAAAAACATTTTACAATAAATGAAATATTTACATATCAACGGAATTTATCTGAAAAAAGTATGATGAACTTATTATGAATGATAAATTAATGATGAAGAAAAAAAACGAAAAAAAACAGTTATTCTATTCCATTGATTCAATTAACTATAAAAACAATTCTGAAAATGTTAAATTGTTAGTTTTCCCTTTCCTTTTTTTTGGTTTTAAAGTAACCACATTGTTGCCATCATCATCATCATTTACTATAAACATAATAATGAATAAATCATTATTATTATTACTATTATATTTCATCTTATGTAATCTTTTGACAATGGTATACAGTGGACATAGAAATAAATATGATCAATATCAAATAAATTCTGCTTATCAACAACCTTATCAAAATAATAAATATAATGGTGATGATTATACTAATAAATATCCAAGTGGTAATTATTATTCGTCTACAGACAATCAGTACGGTAATAACTATGATAATAATAAAAATGATAATAATTATGGTAGTTCCAATTACCAACCAACGTCTTATGATTCATATACCAATTATAATGGGGATAAGTACAATAATAATAATAACAACAACAATAATAATAATAATAATAATGGTGATTATAACAATAACGATTATACATCAACAAATAATAATCATCAAGCAAATAATTATAAAGATTATGGATCCAGTGATATATCACCTACTAGTGAATATGGTATTAGTTCAATTGGAACTGGAGTTATATCTGGTTCTAAGTATAGTCATAGTCGATTAAATGTTCATGGTAAAATGACTGGTGTTGGACATCAAGATTATGGTGTACATTATTTATCATTGACTAAATTCCGTAAAGGTGGTGGCTATGATATCTATGGGAAAAAAAGACAATTTTTAGACTATGATACACAAGGACATGTGAAAAAATATGGTAATCAACATATGAAAGCGAAATTTGAAGTTGTTGGTAATTTGCAAGGCTATTCAACATTCAAGGATAAATCAAGTTTTAAACCAAGCGGAAGTACTTATGGTAATTATGGTGGTAACGGAAACGGTGGTCAATCCTACTGAAGACTAAAACAACAAAGCACACCAGTGAACAAGGAACAAGATCATCATTATTATTAATAATAAAATAAATATATTTATAATCATTAAAAAGTAGTGTTTGTTCTTGACATAACCAATAAACAGTTGATTAGTTATATGAAGTGCTTATGATATTGCAAGAATAAACGGGGTATGCTCAACAGTACCAAAGTATTTGATTGAGTTTTCAATAACTGGTAATAATGTTTATGAAAATCATTAAGATTTATTGAAAGTGTTATGGTATAGCTAGTATAAGTTAAGGAGAACGATGGTGACTTTGTATGATGTACCATTTTATAGGTTAAACTGCTCAGTTTTGCTCTAGTTCCTAAAACTATATTATTGAGCCATGTTTGTTAAAGTATTTCACTAAGATATCAAAAGACGTATTTTTATGTGGGGCTAATATATTGATATCAATTTCCTAGATCAAACTTCAAACTCACAAAGTTTCTTCAGTCTTGATTAAGTATTCATTATCAATCAGATGTGAAAAAAATGGAACATATATCAGTTGAGTGACTGATTTTCTCAGAAAAGTCACTCACCATTCACACAAGCAACTTAATTGAGTGATGATTTAGGGTATTATTCTAAATCAAGTCAACGATGTACCACAAATTAGAATCTAAGAGCTAAGTGAACCTCAAGTAATTTTAAAATGATCAAAATTAATGAATAAATGAGCAAACTAAAATTACTAACCTGTTGGTAGATCTCCATGTTGTTTTAACATCACACTTAACACTTGTAATTAAATGTGTATAACCTGAAATACAGTAAATACGTTTCATAAGGGGTACTATGTCAAATCGTACATTATATATTCTGAGCTAAATTATGTATTCAAAGAACGAATTCAATTTTATCGAAATCATGCGGAGTATCTTCACGGAGAATATTAATGAAGTGTTAGGATGTTGATAATCGTTCCTTTCTTTTACTTGGTTAATTGTGATACGATAAGCGCAGTTTTAAAGAAGTTGACAACATGGACTAACTACGGCTAAAAAACCAGTGAGAATCAGGAAGGATTGAGCATTTATTTTATCTTAGTATTAAACTTCTTAGACACAAATGAACGAATACATAATCATGAATTTACCAAAGAACGAATCCAGAAGCTTCAGGTCTAGGACTGTGTAGGTTTCTTGTAAACAGGTATTCGTGACTCTCAATCTCACCATCTCAACATCTCACCACCTCAATATTAAACGAGTGGAAGTTTGGAACATTTTTTCTTCAAGAGTAAATCTAATTGATGTTTGGGATCCTCAAGATGTGTAGAATATCATTCAAATTGGATTTATTGTCACAGACAATGGAAGTGTCATCTACATTCCCTTCATACGAACAATATGTATAGATGGTCGTCTGTGTATATAATTTGTATGTTTTTGTTTAACCATACTAGATAAACACTGAATTTGAGTCTTTCTTAAATGTAAACTGGAATATCTTTTAGTTGATTCACTAATGTATGTAATCATTTTCAATATATATTTGCCGTCCATGATAAACCTCCTAACACCTCATACAATTTTAGCTCTTCCGAAGCTAATGAACAATCAGTAATGAACTGTTATTATTATTATTATTATTATTATTATTATTATTATTATTATTATTATTATTATTCTGAGAATTTCAATTATTTGTGAGTACAGTTAATACAACTAAATTGTAATTCTACATTTATTACTACTCATGAGTATTTTGAGAAGGTAGTATAAATAATTTTGTGGCAACAGCCCCAGCAGCTGTAGGTATCAATATAAACAAAAGGAAAAGCAAGATTCTCCGACATAACACAACATGCACCAATCGAATTACACTTGACGGAGAAGCTTTGGACAATGTAGAAACCTTTACATATCTGGACAGCTTCATTGATGAACACGGTGGATCAGATGCAGATGTGAGGAGGCGGATCGGCAAAGCAAGAGCAGCATATTTACAATTAAAGAACATCTGGAACTCAAAACAATTGTCAACCAACACCAAGATCAGAATTTTCAATACAAATGTGAAGACAGTTCTACTGTATGGGGCGGAAACCTGGAAAACTACGAAGGCCATCATACAGAAGATGCAAGTGTTTATCAAAAGTTGTCTACGCAAAATTCTTCGGATCCGTTTACCAGACACTATCAGCAACAACTTACTGTGGAGGAGAACAAACCAGATTCCAGCGGAGGAAGAAACGCTGGAAGTGGATAGGACACACTTTAGGGAAATCTCCCAACTGCCTCACAAGGCAAGCCCTCACATGGAATCCTGAAGGTCAAAGGAGAAGAGGAAGACCAAAGAACACATTACGCTAAGAAATGGAGACAGACATGAGAAGAATGAACAAATGATGGATAGAACTAGAAAAGAAGTTCCAGGACAGAGTGGTTTGGAGAATGGTGGTCGGCGGCCTATGCTCCATTGGGAGTAACAGGCGCAAGTAAGTAAGTAACTTAATTAAAATAGAAGAATAAAACAATGCTTTAAAATTGTAGTTATATATTCTTTTTAAATGTTAAATCTTAGTGATAATATTGAACAAGATTTATTATGATTAAGGCATTTGCTAATCTTTAGTCAAGTAAATGTTTGAGTATATAGTAGTATATTGTAAAAATAGAAAATTACGGATCCTGGAAATGATGTATTTTAATTCTCAACTTTCTACTGTAAACCAATATTCATTTCTGTTATGAACTTAAACAGAGATTTCTGTGTAACAGACTATTGTTTTGATGCAAGTATATTCATTTATTCTGAATCGAATTAATTCAATTTGCACTTGTATGTTGATATTATGTAAGTATTTGATTTTCATACTGATTACATAGCAATAATGACAAAGTGTACTGTGATGATCCATATATATATATATATATATATATATATATATATATATATATATATATTGCCGTTCATGTTTGGGGTTTGTGTTATTCATGGCCTATCACCATGTACTCCGATATGAAATCCTAACAGGGATAGGAATATGTTGAAAGTAGTCTATTATTGGTCAAAATAAGATGTGCCATCTTATTGGATTAGTTATAATACTGTTTTATACTTTCAATTTATGGATTTTATCTGTACTTTTCAAACTGTATTTACTATTTTAAACGTTACTGTTAATTTTACGTTTCTGCTAGGTAATAATGTTAATTGCTACTCTTTATACTAATGTAACTTGTGAAGATTTAATGTGATGAAACTTTTTACTCCATCATGTACTTTTTGTAATTAACTGATTCATTCCTTTTCAATAATATAGAGTTTATGGTAATTGAGTGTAAGAATTGAAAGAAATCTAAATTTCATAAATTTAAGAAGAATTAACATAAGTTGTATAAGAACTTTCGTCTAAATTAGAGTGAATAGTTTCACAGTATTTGAGCGCCGAGTTGATGTAAGACATTAAATAGGAATAATATATTTGTAAAATCTCAGCGAATGAATTTGAATTAAATCCAACGTTTTGCCTGGCCATCTGGTCCAATCTTTTTCAAGGAATTATAATCAAACATCAAAACATTATTCCTATTTAATGTCTAACATAAGTTGTGTTTAAAAACTAAACCTGATTTATTTTTTTAAAAATATCGTTACATATACATTCTTTATTACCAAGAGTTAGTAGTGTAGTGAATGATAACATGGGTGGGGACAATAGAATGTATTTAGGCACAAATTACAGACTATCTCACTAAATTCTGATAACCATACAGTCAACAGTTAGTTTGCAAAATAACCATCAGTTGTCTTAATCTTAACTGTTCCTTCTGTAAATATCAGTCCATCTTCTCTGATTTCATTGTTCATACATTTTCGTACCGATTGCGTTTCATTCCTGTCCGTTCCTTATCGATCTTCTGCCGAAATACATTCTATGCCTGTAACAAGGTTTTTAGTAGCCATTTTAAAACTATTCTGCAAACATCCTGTGAAGCATAACATTAAGGATATATCCTAGTTCTTCGACAACGTCAAAAACATCAGCTTTAAAGGGCGAACGATGATGTCCTTGGATGTAACGTCATTGTGGACAAATGTACCACCCACTGAGACTGTTGAATATATATATGAATAAGGTAGAGAACAAGAAATAGCGACTACAATCCCTATGGATCTCATTAAGGAATTATTACCAAAATGTGCTATGAACGTAAACTTCAAATTATATGGTTAAATATATCAACATATAAGTGGTGTCGCAACAGGTTCACCACTAGGTCCCATACTGGTTTATATTTTTCTCACTAAACTAGGAAACAACTCATCATCACAGAACATCGGCAAGTTTTGATCTTACTGTCGATATATGGACAACACGTTCATCCATTGTTACGATTATAATGACCAGATAGGGACACTCAGTTTATTTAATGGACTTTATCTATCTATTAAATTCCTTTGTGAAAAAGAAAATGGAGACAGAATAGCATTTCCAGATATTCTACTTACAAAGAGAATAGATTGGTCACCAACAAGAAGCTTGAACAAAAACCTACGTGGACTGACTACAATATAAGAGGAACTTGATTAAGACACTTCATTATAGAACCAAGACCATATGCTCCGCAGATGCGGTTGATAAAGAAACGAAGGCACCGCTTATTACTCTAAACGGAAATGGATATCTGGAGAAAGTTATCAATAAACATTTAGTCATGTAAAGAGAGCATAAGGGAGGCCCAACTGTGAACAAAATGTCTCTGTATAAACGCCTATAATTTAGAGGTGAAGGACTCAGTGAGATTCTAATGCTGAAGCTGCAATGAGTGAACCAAAGAGCCTTTAGTGAAGGTAAACCACAATTAGTGTTTTTTGTATGTCCGATGGTCACTCAGAGACTGAGAAATATATTACCTGATTAGCCACCTCTTTATGTATCTATCAATTCAACAGTTCTTGTGGAGCAAGTTTTATCGGCAGGTGTTTTATTAATTTGTATTTTGTTGTTTGTGAGAACCTTTTAATGTGGTTAAGCAAAAGTATAGTGAAAACTGTTAACAGCCCGATTTTAGCTCAGTACAAACAGAGCATACAAATAACATGGATCAATCGTCTACAATAATATATCATGTTAACAGGAATCTGTCTAAATCCGTTAGAATAAGAATCCATCAGACGCCTGAAGCAATAGCGATTGGAATCAAAAGCCTGAGTTTTGCGTTCATAAAAAATAGGTTCAACCGCTCTTTTTACCTTAGCCAAGTTCTGGCCAAATTAATTAACAATCATTTTGATTATATTGTGATGTAATTCGATTAATGTTCATACAACCTTCCTCTATGCATTTTCATAGCTTAGACTTAGACACATTATTATTATTGTTGTTGTTATAACTATTGTTATAACATATGTGAGCGCTTTAAGGAATTAAATGGTTTCTAATTTGTAACTGCATCATTAACCCTCTCACACCATGTTAACCATATCTCTTCTGACCATTAATCTCAAATTTAAAACAAAATTATATTAACGCAGAATGTTCTTTTCAATAATTTCTCATCAGATTCTACAATTATATATCAAAATTAATAATGAATATAATTGGCCAGGTTTAAGACAGAGTACATTATTATGAATACCACTGAAAATGAAGGAGCAATGTATAGTTATTTTATACTAGTTTAATTCTCAGCAGTGGGCACTCACAGTTCAGCAAAAGTCGAATCAAGAACCTTTATGTCTCTCAGTGAACTCCTAATTCTGAATTTTTAATCAGATGTGGATATATATATATGAAGTAAAAGAGTTGTCACCAGTAATATTAGACGACCGTCGCTTTATGTGGCAAATTTATTGATTATTAAATTTTGAACCATCAGTTCTAATGGTTAACCGATCATTGAGATGCTTGAAAGTCTTCATTTAATCCCTAATAAGATTATAAATCTTTACTGCAGGCAAGTTTCATAATAGAGCTAAACAACTACTTCTTATTTTTCAATAATACCCTAACTCAGATCAATCTACGACGATTTATAACCTTATAGCAGCTAACATACAATTGAGTATGTTTACATCTAATTTGGCTAAGCCCTTTTGTTAACTTGTTTAACGGACAGTCATTCGTACAATAACAAACTATATATACTTATTGTACCTTCATTATGTACGCTTGAGCATTGCTTACTGCCTAGGCATGTATTCATTCCGCTAGCTAACTATTAATCGCTTAATTGATTCGATGATTCATCCTTTTCCATTAGTGTGTATATGTACATCTTAATCCTGTTCACTGCACTGCACTGTACTGTACTCGCTCATTCGACTCACTCTCACTCGCATGCTTTACGACACTACTCTTTCATGCTTGCTTAACGTGCCTGTAATTTTGGATATCTGTGTGTGGTCCAATAATAAATGCAATCAACACTTCGTATTCGCCTTCTGATTTATACATCGTTAGGACGTTATCGAGTAACGGTTATCACGAGAAACAATATACTAGGTTTAGGGATAATATCGAATATCGACCACCACAACCTAAAAACCAAGACAATATCTACAAATCTCCTTCAATTAATGTAATAAAAATACATTGAATAAAAGAGCTTTTATTAAGTAAAGAATTATATAATAAGAATCGATGAGTAGAATTGATTTTTGTTTTTCCAAAATATGCGAGTATCTAAGTGCATCTATTTTTCTGATATGAACTTTTCGATAAAGAAATTTATTTAGTTTTTTTTAATTGTATATAAATATAAGTAATAAAACTGAATTATTTTTACATGTTCATTGTTCAGTTTAAATATTTGAATAATCTATTGGAATTGAATAAAAGCAAGTCTATTTAAGAATATATATATATAAGAAACAAGCGGTAAAATATGCTCTTAATTTATTTTTATTTGATCACATGTATATCAACAATTTATAGTCGTGAAAGATATCCATATGATAATCATGATGAAATTGAAGGTTCATTTTTCGACGATGATTATGGTTCACATGATGGATATCATTCAGGAAATTATGATAATCATCCTCAACGTCCCCCAGAACATAATCTACCTGGAGGAGGTGAGCCGTCTCCCCCGAATCGTGGTGATGGTGAAGAACCACCTCAACCACCTCCTGAAAAACCTGAAGGACCATATGAGTCTGATGGCGACGAGAATCATGGTCGGTCACACTATAACCATAGTCGTTATCACGGATATTATGATGATTTAGATAAATATGATAGTGAATTGAGAGAGTTAGTTCTCAGTGGATATCGGTATAAACCAAGATATTATGAAGGAGAAGGTTATGGATTAGTAGGTGAAGAAAAGTATGTTAACAAACCAAAAGATCCTAGTAAATATGATCAATATGGAAATTATATACCTGATTATCAAACACCACAACCACCTCCTCCTCCTCCTCCTCCTCTTCCTACTCCTATACCTTCTAATTCAAACGAACAACCTAGTGGTAACGTAGGAGAAAACGTTAATAATGTGGGAGACGAAGATAATAAACCCGATGAAACAGAAGAGAACGAATATAAGCCTACTAGATATGTTAAATATGACAAATATAAACCGTCAAACAAACGCGTATCAAGCAAAAAAAAATCATCCAAGAAAGGAACGAAAGGAACGAAAGGAACGAAAGGAAAGAGGGGAAAAGGAAAATATAAGAAATATCGAAATAGGTACAAACCAAAACCAACACCACTACCAACACCATATCCAGAAGAACCACAAACTGTACCACCACGTGACGAAGACGACGGAGAAGATGAAGAAAACGAACAGTGATAGTGGTAAACATAGGTGAATAAAATACAAATGCAAACAACATGAAAAATGATCTTTATATTAAACTAATATGAACTGTTTATACAAGTGAATTGTTATAATAATAATAATAATAATAATAATAATAATAATAATAATAATAATAATGGTAATAACATAACCCTATTTATACATTACATTTAATAAATACAAATTATTTATTTATTAATTCACTTGTAAATGTATTTGAAAAAAAGTGTCTTTACGAGAACAGTTGTGAGTTTTATTTCCTTCTAATATATAGTTACACTGAAAATTTATGGGAACAGTATTGATGGTTCAGAAAAAAAATTTTTTTCGTCAGTTTAATTCCAGTATTGATAAGTAAGATTACCAAGGAAATATCATGTCTAATAATAATAATAATCTGTATTCCATGTAAATAATTAAAAAAGTGTTACATTATAAATTGATTCGATAATAAATAACAAATGAGGTTACGTATTAATCAAAGGGTAAGGAAGAAAATAATTTGTGAGTCAAATCATAATTCGAATCTCGTGAGGCAGGATCGTGGATGCGCACTGCTGAGGAGTCTCATAATAGGACAAAACGGTCGTCAAGCAGTGCTTCCAGGTCTACCATGATGGTCTAGCTTCAATTGACTCATGATTTCAACTATGAAACTACTGAAATCTCCACAAAAAGCCTTCTGATTATAACCTAATTAATTTATAGTTAATTAGATAATCATTTACTTATTTATATTTGATAATTATGATGTTCGGTTATATTATCTTGAAAAAAATTTAGCCAAATTGCTAGGGAATGTGTTGGATATAATTCAAATTCATTGGCTAAGATTTTACAAATACATTCTTGTTTTTTAATGTTTAAGACATCGTGTAAAATTATATAGTTGAGATCATGAGTCAATTAAAGCTAGACCACCATGGAAAATCTGGAAACACCGGACGGCTATTTTGTCCTATTGTGGTACTCCTTAGCAGTGCGCATTGACGATCCCGCCTCGCGAGATTCGGACCCAGGACCTATCAGTCTTTATGATTTTTATATAAACAATTGCTAAAATTTCAATGGAATAATTTAACAAATATTGAGTATAGATTATATTGAAGGAATTAAATATGATAATTATATTTGAAATAATTTTAAAAGCTTAAATTTATGATAATTTCAACATTTCCGTAGGACAATCAGTTCAAGCTTCTTCAAAGAAATAATTGATTAGTTAAATTTCAATCGTTTAGATTGTTTTAAACATAATATTTATATAGTTGAGATCATGAGTCAATTGAAGCTAGACCACCATTGAAAACCTGGATCGTAGATGCGCACTGCTGAGGAGTCCCACAATAGAACGAAATGGCCTTCCAATGCTTCCAGGTTTTCAATAGTGGTCTAGCTTCAGTTGACTCATGATTTCAACTATATAATATTTATAATTAATGTCTTTATGGTTTTGTTATGAGAAAATAGTCTAATTTTTTTGAAGTCTTATTCATTTAAAGTTCAAGTTCTCCCTGTTTTTCCGCTTTGTGTGTTTGTACTTGAACTAGAATTATCCCGGTAATATTGATTTATTATTTAGGGTGATATAATTTATACTAATTTTCTCAAATATTTTTACTTCACTTGTCATTCCATTTGTCTGGTTGACATTTATGCTTTTTACATATGTTTGGTCAGTTATGTGAAATATATTGTTCGGAAAAATACTTTAATCTTATTATCCAAATCAAGATTGGGTAACGCTCATTATTAAAATAGATTAGCTTTATTGTCGAAAAATGAACGTATTGAAAGGATTTTAACAATTAAATGTAAAACAATCAATGGAATTAATGCCAAGGTTGGATTTATTAGTTTCAAATAAGTTGAGCATTGAGTTGAAAGTTAATAATAAGTATATTATTTTGTTATATAGCAGATGTCACATTATTTATTTTCCTCACAATCAGACAAACTGAAGTCGTCAGTAGTAAATGTATTTTTTGTTATATGCCAATGAGTAGGGAAAGTTGTATTTCTGACATTTCGTGACTTAATGTAAATCACTTCTTTAAAGTAAATAGATAACCGAAATAAATCAACAGAAACTATATTTAGTTTTCTATAGTTGAAATCATGAGTCCATTGAAGCTAGACTACCATGGAAAACCTGGAAGCACTGGACGGCCGTTTCGTCCTATTGTGGGACTCCTCAGCACCGTTGGATGCCGTCAATGAAATTAAAAACATTCCGATATGTAGGTTTAGGAAATGATAAATCAAGTCATAGGATATAATCCTTTCATTTGAAGAGTTTGAGCCTTATTCTGTGCATAGCCATAGGTTTAAATATTGTATAAAGTTGTAAAGGATGAAGTTTTGGAAGATTTAGATGAACTCAGACAGCATCACAATCAATACGTGACCAAGTTTAGTACTTTAAGTTATGTTAATGACCTACGGTTTAAATTCAGAACATATTTTCTCTTCTCTGTTCTGCAAGCAAGTTTAAATGTTGTCTCTTATGTATAATAAAAAATAATTGGCTACTCTTAACTTATCTTGTACCAGAGACCCAAATGTACGCTCAAATCTGTACGTGAATAATCAGACGATGCTTATCTTTTTACACATATTGAAAATAGATTCTTATTCGTAAACACCACTTGTAGTTTCTCTGTATTAATGTTTTCTAATTAAGCAAAAAAAATAATGTTCTTTAATTAACAGATCAATTGTTTGGTCACCTATAAAAACAAAGTGTGTTTCTGACAATAATCTTAAGCTCAAATTAGTTTTTTCCCTAAGTAATATTAACTTGAAAACAATTGTAAAGTGAAAGAGATAGTCAGTTATTTTGTCCTTGTATGGAACTTCCTAATTATCTACACCTTATCAAAAATCAAATTCAAATACAGAATTTCCTTATTATATTTTTTTTAGAATATTTTTATCAATGAACTTACTAGGGTAGCTAATCTTAGTCCAAGTTTGTTTTCTGAGAAAACATTCGTTACTATTGAAATTCGCGCTAATGATACTAAGCATACGATAATACAGATGGTGAACAAGATTCCATTTTCATAGTTGAAGTCATGAGTCCATCTAGGCTAGACCACCCTCAGAAACCTGAAAGCACTGGACGGCTGTTCCGTTCCTGTATGGGACTCCTTATCAGTGCGCTTCCACGATCTCGCACTTGTAAACCAACTTCCTCAAAACTACTTCAACAAAATAATAAATCAGTATGGGAATACTGGCTTAGTGGTCTGGAGGTTAAACGTTCGCACGCAAGATCAGAAGTCATAGGTTCGAGTTTCGCGTGCGGTATTGTGGGCATGCACTGCTGAGGAGCCCCATACAAGAACGAGACGGCCACCCAGTGCTTTCGGGTTTATAGCTTAGGTCGACTCGTGAATTCAACTGAGAAAATACTACAGTCTCCACAAATCCCCATACCGATTAGATCCCCTTTATCTACTTAAATATACACATGTATTGAAACAAATTAGCTGACAGTTTACCGACTTTATTTTCTTTAAACATATAGTATGTAGGTATTTATATTAATGTCTTGTAAATGAAATATCAAATATCTTAATGTTTCAAAAATACCAATTATTCTAGTGCGATCGTATTTGTAAGTTATTTTTCCTCAAAAAAGGATGAGAAATTTAATTCTGGTTGATAACCAAGTAAACATTTTTTATGATGAGTAAAACTTGAGTTAAAATTTCCACATCAAAGACTATTTTTCGTCAGACAACCACTGAAAATCATGAAGCATTGAATAGCTGTTTTGTCGAAATACTTGATTACTCAGCAGTACAAATCCATAACCTTAACTTAAATTGAATCCATGATCTTCAAGACTCCTTTTGAGCGCTCATTCTTTACACTACTGAGTTGCTATCTACTGACTTAAAGTTTTGACTTCGATCAATTCAAGATATTAAGTAAACATCTTTGAATGACACTGAAGATAAATTTAAAATAATTGGACTATAGCAACAATGTTTAGATAACAAATTATGAAAAGTGATCATGTTTAATCCGATTATGTGTATTTGATCTAATTTTATCGATTTCTAGCCTAAACAATTCCTTTTTTTATGGACTTTCACAGTCACATGACTGTATTTCGCACTAAACATAAATATAAAGAACACTATGAATACTGTAATTTTTCCAAAAAAAGAAATATTTACCCTTTGAATATCTTTACTGCATTAAATTAATATTTTATGATAAATGAATATGCTGAGGACAAAACTAGTTTTTATATGCTTAATTATTTTATTGAAAATCAGTTTTTACTTATCACATCGTACAGTTGTTGAAACTGAATCAAGTTTTGTATACAAATCTTATGGAGATGATTCTTATAATTCTACCGACGATTTTAACAATGAAACGTTTCCTTCAGATTTTGATGCATTTCCTGGAAATTCATACTTCTCATATGAAGATACAAAAGATCCATTTAAAGAAGAAAATATAACGAATGACTATTATTCTTATGATGATAAAAGAAATGAAATAGATTCAGAAGGTAATGGATGGTATAATTATGATTTTAATGGTGAATCAAACATGAATGATAAAAATGATAATATATTCGATGGACCAGATGAAAACGATAAATATTATGGAATTGATTTTTATCCGAGGAGCGATCGTAAGAAAATCTTGCGTAGAAAATATAGGTCAAAAAGACAAACAGCCACTGAAGCAAGTTATACAACTCAAAGCTTTAGTACAGATACGGTGGATAAGGAAAACCAAACAACGACAGCAGCGACAGTACCGATGACGTCAACATCAGGAGGTGTAAAAGATTAAGATGATGTTATATTATTATTAATTTATTGAAAATAAGGTGCCATATTTTTCATAAAGATGTTAACAGAATAACTGATAATGGCGTACTCAAAATTGCTGAAAACCGTGTAACATGTTATGTCACGTGTTAATGTCGGAAAGCCTGTAAATCTGAGGGACATTGTAAAGTTGACCAAAATGTATGAAGTAATTTGAAGAGATCAGAAAGGTTTTGCAGACAGTTTTCGTCTTGGAACGATACCAGATGGTTGATGGTCGAAAATATAGAAATATTAGGAAGTTTCATCTTTCCAGTTTGGTACCTGCCAGTAATGTCAAGGCAATGAGATTATTGGGGATATAAACAAAAACAATTAAGCCTAGTAGCAAAATAAATACATTGGGACGAGTAGCATATCCTTTTACATTAATGTTTTAAAAGGTCCCGAAAAATCTCAGTTTTTTGCTAACGTATAGTATTAACCTGAAGGATCACTTCTTTGTTAATTAATAAATGATCACCAATCGGATTCTTAAATTCAGAACAAGTTGAATTTTTAAGTAAAATGTACTGTACAATGTTTAGCTCTAAGACTTTTCAAATGAGGATGATAAAATTATCTATAAATTTGTCAGTAAATCAAGTCAGTGGTCATTGTATTCATAGTTACAGTTAATACTGTTATTATCAGAAAAGATGGGGTGATGGATAGCAGCGGAATTCAGGACGCACGTCACGTTTGGGACTCATCAGCTGGATGGTCAATTGCAGTCCTAAATATCAATAGGAGGACTCAAACAAACAATGCGAAACTAATTGAACCTCCCACTATTGCACAAGCTACTGGATATCAGGACTCCGTGGCTAAGGGGATAACGTGGTGGCGTTTCAAGGAAACGGCACTGGGTTGGAGTCTTGGAATGAATATCAACTTTGGGCTGTAGATGTGTCCAAATGACGAGTCCCAAGGAGAAGGAAACGTGCGTCCTGGAATTCACTGCTAGATCCCGTCCATCTTTGCTTGTAACTTAAGGCGATATAGAGGCAATCCGTACAGGATGCACATATGCCAATAAAAGAGTGATCAACTGCAGTCCTAAACATCAATGGGAATATTCAAACGAACAATAAAAAAATGAACTTTTGTTATCGGTTGTACTTTCTTGGTGCCATTGCATATATCTAATATGTAATCAAGCATACTTACAGGTCACTGCTCAATCTTAAAATTAACAAGAAGAACTTAAACCATTTAGAGTCGTATTCAAGAATTTCATGTGTATATGAACATATTGTCAGATCCCATTCATTGCTGTATTTTTAAGTGAGTGTATTTATGCTTATAAAATGTCAATACAATAACATATCGTCGGACGACGCAATAATGAGGTACATTTCGATTTAAATTTGGTTCTTAAAACTTGTATTTTAATATTCTGAAATGATATAGGATTGAAGTATAATTAATTAATAATTCTGCTAATACAATTAACAAGTAAAATTATGTAAGCGTAGATAATTATGGTCAATTAACTGCTATATTGTCTATCTAAAGAATGTATCCGTTTAAACTTGTAGTTTTGGTTGTTATGTTAAGTCCATATGTCTTATTCTCACTTCTAGACAAGTCAATTCACCTATTCATCATGAGTCGTGTTCTCATCTTGTTAATTATTCACTTATTAATCCTGACTATTTTTTATATGAGCATAGGTGTGTGTACGCTTCCTATCCTATTTATCAAATGTCTGTCACTTATTCTTGTCTGACTATAAATATTGATTAACGCTTGGTAAAAGTGGGTTGGCTTACCAGCCATCTCCAATGAGTGTTATTTTAGTTTCACTCGTTGATATATACTCATGTGCTTATAATTTTCTGGCCTGCATCATTTGTCAATAAAACTGTAGCTGCCCACTTCTCTTTACCTTCTGATTTTATGCACTGTTAAGATTTGTATTATAACGGTTATCAAGGTGAACGATTAGCGAAGAACCGTACTACAAACTGTAAAATAGAAGAAACTAAATTCATAGATCAAGCTGGTATTCACATGTAGATATTTTGTTTAAATAAATCATATCGATTTCAATCATTAAATATGTATGTATGTATTTAAATCTTATCAGTGCAATCAAAATCTCATTGCTACGTAAATCTAATTCATTTATCTACGAATATATCAATGCATTAAACAAATGAATAAAAGAGTTGAACTTTCAATAGTCTATTAAGTTTATCATTATAAACTTTATCAATTTGTTAGGTAAATAAAATTTGTATTTGAATAGAGTGAAATGATAAGATTTGTTTGGTTTTTATATTTTCTTACATTTGTAACATTCATTTATCATGATAAACGTGATGAATTTGTTAACACTGAAGAATAATACGATCATGATCCTAGGACTCTTTAATGAATTATATCGAAATGTTTTATAATTAGGGTCGTTGACAGATAGATTTAGAGATATTATGAACTTAAAGCATAGTACAGTTATTTGTTGGCCCAAGTTTCCATATTAGATAAGCAAGAAAACATGAAACTAACAAAATAGATCGAAATAATGTAGAAACAGTGACAAAAAGAAAGATTAAATCTCGAAAAATACGATTTGAAAGACGGGGTTCAAATGTCTGTATGAAGGGGTATTGGGATTCAAGAACGTGAATGAATCGACGCTACATTAAGAGAACCACCTAGATTTCTCAGCCACTAACAGTGGTTATCATTCAGAGCACAGCCAGGTACTCTGTATCTATCAAGATGGCTCAGACTATTAATCAATTATTTGGTTGTCTGACTCCACGTTTCGGTTTACTTCTTCCTAGCTTCCTTCCGACCTACTCCTACATCAGCCATCATCACAAATCTTGGTGATTAGTAGGTGCGTATATGTCATACATGCCCCAACCATGACAGTTGATAAAAACCCATCACTTATCAATTTATTTGCGTTAATTACCTGTTACTCTGCACCTTACGTCAGAACCGCCAACTCGATGGCCCTCAAATGTTTAAGAACAATTCTTCGAAGACATCAATAAAGATTTGCAAACTAATAAACTGATTTTCCACCGCTACCAAGTACCTTATGTCCAGCTTCAACACTCCTAGTGTTTGTTAGCATCACACTTTTCTTGCAAGCTAATTACGGCATAAATAAACACTTCAAACAAACCGCATCGTCTATGTTCTATGCATTGGTTCGACGGGATATAATTTTCTTAATAGGAAATATTTTACAAGCAAAGAGTTTGTCATTTTAAGCCGACCTATATTTAGGAGAAATTGTTTTTCCTAGGGAACTTCAATAAGCCCATGCTCAGAATTCAACTACCAGACATCAGTCAGTCATATGAATTACGGCAGACAAAATTATTCCAGATAACAATAGACTAGTAAAAACCATGCATTATTGCACTTATTTCATTGATGAAAGTGATATTGCTAAGGTTAATTATTGAGTAAATGAATGTTAGTTTTGTTATAAATTGATAATTATCAGCATTTTAACTAAAATCAGGTTTCACATCTTGTAATATACAGTTCACTTAATGTGATTTCTGTATTCCAATATTAGAAGCCGATATAAAAAGCAATTATTCAGATCCAAAAGGGTTTTATTGATTTTTGACAAATGAATATAATTATTATACAGCATTACATTTCTTCTCTTAATAATAATAATAATAATAATAATAATAATAATAATAATAGTGAAACAGCTTTCATGGTTATTTCAATCTGTGATATGTCATATAAATAACCAGTTAATCGTTATATTTTTTTCAGCAAGAAACTCTTTGATGTGATTACTAGCATTAGCTGCTTCTTGAAGTTTTGTTTCAAACTTTTCCTCCGTAAGTTCAACACTTTTCTTATGTTGTGGATGATCTGTGTGATAATCAGATTCGTTAATCATGGATGGTAAACTGGAAAGATTCAAGTGAGACCATGGATTATTTGGGAACTTCGTTCCTTCAATATTAATATTCGTTTTATAATCTTTCGAATGTAAATTAAGCGTTCTATTTTCTGTGTTGATTTCTAGTTCAATGTTTAATGAAAAGTTTGTATTCTGATCTTTTATCCAAGATTTTAGAAACGACATATTAACATCTCTAAAAAATTGTTTCCCATTTAAATTCTCAGATATATTATAAGATGCATTTCCAGATGACTTGAATGTATAATGTGTTATGTTGTAAACAAATCTATGACTGGATACACGTAAAACAACTCCTAACAGATAAAAGTGTAATATATTCATTTTCGAAACCTTTCTTCTAGTGAAATGTTAATTTATGATATTGAAAACACTGAATAGTATATGCTGAATTATCTATCTATATCTATATTTATATCTATCTATCTATCTATCTATCTATCTATCTATCTATCTATCTATAGTCACGTGATAATCAAATCTCAAAGTCGAAAATTACTTCAGATTTAAATTATTCGTTTCGATGTGATTGAATGAAACACCTTGATTCCCCATACTAGAAAGTGACAATTCAAACTTCTAGCTAAAGATAAGATTAGGGAATAATTATAAAGACATATATACTTTAATGATAATATACTTTATATGAAATCCGGTTATTCTATTCACTGTGACAAGAGTTACATTATTTTAAGAGAATATGAATTTGAAATCTCTGATATTTATTCTTGGTTTTATTCTGAAAAAAACTTAAATCATTTTAAAAGTCAGTTCATATTCTAAACCAAGGATTAGAATGTCTATTACATATCTAAATATGAAGCAGCTGACTGATTGAACTTGATCACTTAAACATAATTACTCAATATTCTATTTAAAAAAATATTTAACAGATATGTCACTTTATTTATATTTTTATACAAGCGTAATATTAATTTATAATCATACTTGTAATCTAAAAGTTATTACTTTTTAAATCATGCAAACCATTTTATCTGCTCAGAATAGAGTTTGATAGGGAATGTTGGTTGGGGGCCTATGTTACTCCATGAGGGGTAACAAGAGTAAGTAAGTAAACCATTTTATCATCTAAATACTCGTTTCATATTTTCATTCTTTGATTATTTTGTTTACAGCTGATTACCTCTAAAATGGGAATAAAGATATTGATAGGTCAATAAATATTTAAATATCTCTTTCTTGTCGAATATTGAACACTGAATAAAACATATTCACTGTTTAGTTTAATTGCATTGATAGACAGATACATGTACAACTAGATTTTTCATTTGATTGGTTATAATTTACAACTATGTTGCATTTTAGTAGTAATGACAAGACCTTGCGAGAATTAATAACAATTAACTAATTGATAGTGTATTTTTGTATAATGTTGGCCGTGTTCAAATACATTCTTGCCATTATCAATATGGGGATTTGTGGAGGTTGTGGTATTTTCACTACTGAATTCCATCATGATAATCATTATGTTAAGCTTTTTATTTTAAAAATTTCTGTTTTAATTTAGGATATGTGGTAAAGTCGGAGTTGTGGTGATTGTTCAGTTTTGACTGAAATCATGAATCGATCAATGTTAAACCACCAACGAAAACCTAGGAACACTGGACGGCCAGTTCGTCTTAGTATGGGACTTCTCAGAAATGCGCACCCACGATCCCATATGAGGGACTCCAACCCAGAACATTCAGTCTCGCACGACCACCTAACCTCCAGATCAGTGAGCCTACATCTGCCGATGTTAATTTCTAACCTCAACCAATCCACGAAACTGCACAATCATCCTCCATTGTCATCAGATAGAAACTGCCTCAAACCCGACACGGTTAAACTCCACTGATTACGGCTTCTCAATAGAACTCCGACAATTTCCTCACGAATCTAGTCAATATTCAGCATATAATTATTATCAGTATAGCCGTGATCAGTGGAGTTCAACCGTTGCGGGTGTGAGGCGCATACCCACCTAAGAGAAAGAAAGATGGTCGATCGATATTGTAGATCTATTAAACTTTTGAAAAACGTTAAAGCAATAACTTCTTATTGCAAAATTACTCATGTTTACGATTGTTTGTTCAGTTTTATTCATCCGTACAGCATTTTCAAACCAATAATTTTAATACAAACCTCTATTAATATGAACAACAAGAATAAGTTTGTGCATTCATCTCTGAAACATACAAGAGGTGATAGATAGTGGTAAAACTTAGTTCTTCAAGTTAAAAGTAGTCCGAACCCATAACGTAGTAATTGGAATTCTAATTGTCCATAGACCACCCTCCTAATGTACTAATCATACCAGCTCATTACATATAAAATATAAAAACTATCTGTCGATTTAAAATAGATGATGCATTATAGAACGAATCGAAAAACAATATTGACCTTCAGTTTTAATAACCCAATGAATTTTAAGCGTAAGCAAAAATGAAACCTTTAGGTAACATGAAAATATGTAAGTCATCTTACAGGTAATGCTTTTACTCACTTCAAATTATATCAAAAAATATCTGTCAAATAAACCTAACTATTCAACATATGAATGAATAAAAACGAAGCATTGAAGTGTTACCCTAAAATAGGATAAAGATAATGTGTAACAACAAATCTCGCGAGAGCGAGATCGTGGATGCGCACTGCTGAGGAGTCCCATAATAAGACGAAACGGCCGTCCAGTGATTCCAGGTTTTCCATGGTCGTCTAGCTTCAATCGACTCATGATTTCAACTTTGAAAAATACTGAAATCTCCACAAAAACCCCTTCTGATTATTACTATTACAGACAAGAATTTCAAGGACCTACATAATTTACATAACAAAGCATAATATCTATCAATTCAACTAAGTGGAATATCTCTATATCATCTTTTACATTGATAAACAAATGAGAAGACAAGTGATATATTATATGTTTTATAGGTAATGAAAATGTGAATAGCAATAACCTATTACGTATTTATTATTACGTGACCCAAAATATGGATACATAATCTAAAGATATTATATTATTAATATGTCAGCTTAGAGAACAATAAATAGTGTTGTTATATATGGAGTTCAGTGTCAAAATGTAATATCATCGTCATCAGGTCTCGTGGTAGTACGACGTGATTCAGATTCTTGTCTGTCATCATCATCTTCTGCATTGTTACCTGAATATACATTATATTTATTTGGTTTCACTCCGTTATATTGATAATCATAATTTGTATTTGGTTGATAATCATCCCAATTATATAGTATACGGTCATGATATTTGAACTTAGGATTTTTGGGTTTTATATGAGCAAAATAATCAGGCGCCTGTGTTTGATAATTACCATTAACTGAAGTTTGATAACTATCATAACCTCCAGCATTATAATTGTCGTCATTATCAACATTCTTATAATCATCATGATCATTTCCATAATAATTATTTCCTTCATTACTTTCATATTGTTTATGGGGATTTGGAAGATAACTATAATCGGATTGTTCTTCATATTTTCTTGGTTCTTTAACATCATCATATCTATCTTTCGAATAGTAATTATCTTCTTTTCCATTATTGTTATTATTATTATAATCATCATAATACGATGAGTATTCATCAGGATTGTCATAGTTACCATGGGAATAATAATTTTTAGGTTTATCCGAACCAAAAAATCTATCAAAATCATCACTTTCACCACTATAAATAGATGTTACGAATGTGAGAAAATATAAAAACCAAACAAATCTCATCATTTCACTCTATTCAAATACAAATTTTATTTACCTAACAAATTGATAAAGTTTATAATGATAAACTTAATAGACTATTGAAAGTTCAACTCTTTTATTCATTTGTTTAATGCATTGATATATTCGTAGATAAATGAATTAGATTTACGTAGCAATGAGATTTTGATTGCACTGATAAGATTTAAATACATACATACATATTTAATGATTGAAATCGATATGATTTATTTAAACAAAATATCTACATGTGAATAATGGTATTTAATATAATTAGAATGGGTTTTGTAGAGATTTCAGTAGTTTCATAGTTGAAATCATGAGGCAATTGAAGCTAGACCACTATGGAAAACCTGGAAGCACTGGACGGTTATTTCATCCTATTATGGGACTCCTTAGCAGTGCGCATCCGCGATCTCGCATCGCGAGATATATGTCCTGGAGTTCTAGTGAGAAGCAGTGATCAGTGGAGTTCAACCACGTCTGTTGTGAGGTAACAACTCACTGAAGACAATTGGTGAACGGTTGCTCAAACTTCGTGGATTGGTTGATGTTAGACATAAACACCATCGGATGTCGGCTCAGTGGTCTATCGGTTAAGTGCTCTGGCGAGAGACTGGTTGGTCCTGGGTTCGAATCTCGCGAGTGCGGGGTCGTGGATGCGCACTGCTGAGGAGTCCCATAATGGGACGAAACGGTCGTCAAGCAGTGCTTCCAGGTTCTCCATGGTTTGTGATATAGTTTAGTATATACCTTAGATCGATAATATAAAGTATTAAGTTTATGTAATAACTATTTCTTATTAAACTTTAACATGTCACGACTATACTGATAATGAATACAACGTATTATGGGTTTTGTCATACTATTGTTTCGGTTGAATTATATTTACTTCCAATAAGTTCTACATCTAATAGAGTAATCATCATGAACTTAATAGTTGATTACTGACAACTAAAAATCAAGTCTCCCCTCAATACCTATGTTATTTAAGTGGTACTATGTTAAGTGTACTTTGCAACATTATACTTCAAAAAGTGACTGAAGAAAAGAAACACCTGCTTCCTACATGAATGTGAAATTATTGTTTCAAACAGACTCTTAACAGCAATTCTGAGACAAAGCATCCATTCTTCTTACATTTATTAAATTGATTATGACACTTTGTAAAAGTTCCAAGCAAACTGAGTCACTGTTAACTAAGTGCGGATTACAACTACAGATTAGAATGTAAGCTGAAAAATAACTATGAAATCCACAAAATTACACCCCCAGTTGAATATAGATTTGAACCAATTCATTCAAGAACTTTTAGTTAGATAGTAAACCTACTTAATAACATTCATGTAGTACATAAGATGGTGCTGAATTTTGACGAAATTGAACACTAAATTACGTTTATATGAATATTTCATGCAACTTCATAACCACTGTTTTAGAATCCAAGAAGAACTATTTTTCATTTGGACGAATTTTTCAAGTTTCAAAATAACCCATTTTGCTATTGAATAAAAATAAAGAGAATTCAGAGAAGAAAGTTTTCTTTTCGACGAAATCATTTACTTAAGCTGTACATTCGTATTTATAGTTTTATGGAAAATATATGTCTATAGAAGGATAGAATAAATTGCATCATAAATTGATTCGAGACTCCATGTAACTGTAAATACGAATGTACAGCTTACGTAAATGATTTCGTCGGGAAGAAAGGTTTCTACGCTCAATTCTCTTTATTTTAAAGTTTTAATTTATTTCATATTCAACAAATAAAGTTTAGGAACCAGTCCAAAAATTTATACTATTTAACTTTAGTGAGAAGCCATGATCAATGGAATTTCTATCTGAAGACAATGAAAGATGGTTGTGCAATTTCGTGGATTAGTTGAGGTTAGGCATTAACACCGCCAGATGCAGGCTCACTGATCTGGAAGTTAGGTGGTCGTGCGAGACTGAATGTTCTGGGTTGGAGTCCCTCATATGGGATCGTGGGTGCGCATTTCTGAGAAGTCCCATACTAAGACGAGCCAGCCGTCCAGTGCTTCCAGGTTCCTGATGGTGATCTAATATTTATCGGTTCATAATCTCAAAGAAATTCGACAGTCTCCACAATTTCAAACTGAGATTTTTTCAAAAGAATATACCATTATTTCTTCAATCTTATTGTGTGTTTCATTCATAACTCCACCATAAGTCACCGTTAACTTAAACAATAATTCAAATCTCTTCATTGATATCAAGTCTAAGCTGATGTCACGTTTCAGAAAAGATATACTTTAAACTAAATCGAATTTCATCAAACGCATTTCGTTGACATAGAAAGTAGCATTACACAAAAGTTAGGTCCTGTTACAGATGTTTCCAAAAATCTTAATGATTCATCTGACATATATTCTAGTAGTACGAAAAACAAGGAGAAACAAGTAAAATATTGATCCATTCAAAGGGCTAGATAATCATAAATTTCAATCTGATTATCCTGGCGTCTGTAACTAGTAATATTTTTACCGATTCTTCTGCTAATCCAATTAAGACTGAACTAGATGTTTTAACATTGGATTCAAAATTATTTGTAACATTTAGATATATAATTCACTGAAAGACAAATTTCCATTTTCTGAATCTATTTGTCCAGATATAAGAATTGGTAGTTCAAACAAAGGTTGAATTATAAAGATTTAAGAGCACACTGATTGACTTTTGTAACTATTTTAAAAAAACAACAACCACCATATGAATATTATGTAGACTCGAAAACATTGAGAACCCATAAGAAAACTAAAATCAAAAGACTTCAATAATCACGAAACTTAATAAAAGATCAGATGTTGTAATTTCAAACAAGGTCATTAAAATGGAAAAGATAAATCTGACAAATGATCAAACTAAATTCTTAAGAATTGGATAATGTAAGGACTTGACTGAAAAGACCAAGTGTCAGCTAATCACGACATTACAATTTCCCAATCTACCTATTATGTACTAAAAACTTCATAAAGCAATATTCCACAACCATATGATCTACCGAAATTTCAAAAACCAGGGTTTCGTTTATATCCGATTAGAGGTACATCAGAATTACTGTATCACTCAGCAGAAAAATAGTTAATGAAATTGTTTGAATCATTACAACAAAACTTGTTTAAACGCAGTATTGACGACGTAATGGAATCTGTAGGTGTAATAAAAACTATGGATTCAAGAGATAACACTATGTCATCTCTAGACACAATATATGTATTTAAAATAATCTACTGACCAAAACAACTAATTATATACGCGAATAAATTCCAGAAAAAACAACAATACTTGTCCCAACAAAGGAAACAAAGAAGCTTCTGACTAAACCCATGATTAAAGTTCACTTCATGTTGGACAACAAACTCTAAAGCCAAGTAGATGGTTCCATTGGGAAGATTTCATTGTCATTCTGGATAACATGACTGTAATATTTTGCCTTTTTTAAGTCTTGTTATCAGAATTTATTCTTATATTTCTGTGGATTTTCTCATTCGGTTGACCTATGAATATATGGTTGACTGACAATTTCCATATGGATTATCTCAACGAATTTGCACAAGGCTTATGGCATACCTAAAAACCTTACTGCGTCCATGATTAAGTGCTCTGGTGCGAGACTGGTAGGTCCTGAGTTGAAATCTCGCGAGACGAGATTGTGGATGCGCACTGCTGAGGAGTCTCACAATGGGACGAAACGGCCGTCAAGCAGTGCTTCCAGGTTTTCCATGGTGGTCTAGTTTCAATCGACTCATGCTTTCAATTATAACAATCTACCCAATGCTCAATTTATTCAAACTTATCAAGTCAAACCTTGGTAATGATACCTAGTAATGAAGTATGTTTGTATTTTATTCTCACAAAATGTCTTGCTAATTTATACAGCCTCAATTTTCACAATGAAATAATGAGCTAACACTTTATTATATAGAATTTCTAGTACTGAAATTTTATTTGTGCTGCTTAGTTATTCAAATCCAAACCTTAAAGAAAGAATGAATTCCTCTATGACTGACGATAATTTCTATTGAGTACTTGAGCGTTGTAAGTATAATAAAATCCATATACTAGTACCCTACAAATATCTGATGTCACTAAATCAGTTACTTAGAATTTTATTCATTTTTATTTGTAAAAGGTTGACATTTGATTAGTCTTTTTTGATACATAGGCTACTTCAGAAGATTTCTTAATATTAACTGAACAATAAGCATCAGCCGTGGGATCCAGGTATATGCAATGAAAAACTGTATAAAAGACCAACTGTTCATCATAAACTCAACTTACAACCATTATTTCAAAATCTAGTTGGATATTTATTATTACCTTGTATCAGTTTAATAAAACACTTTACAACCGATCATAATTTAGTAGCTATGCACCAATAAAATTGGATGGTAAATAGGAAATATCGCAAATTATTGAATGATAACTTGGTGATTTGTAGGTTAAACATTTTCAATGGAATTCAAATGTCGTAGGTTTGAACCCCGGTTGTGACTGTGCATCGGGCTGTTTTTTAGCTCTATTTTAGGAAAAAAAAATAGGAACTCAGTGCTTCTTCAGCTTTACTTGTTCTTTACTCAGGATTAGTGAATGATATGAACTACAAAAGTCAACAATCTCCACAAAATTATTGTGTAAATAATTCTAATTTGTTTTTGGTTTGGAGTAAACATTACCATTTGACAACTTCTTATCACTGAATTCTTGTCATCATTATTATATATGCTTGACAAATACCATCAAGATAATAACTACAATGAATTTGGTCTTTGTCGTTATTACCACGTTCATAAGAAGATTATTGAAGTTAGGAAACAATTGGATATTCACAACTTCGCAGCTGGGAGTCGAATTCAAGTCTTTCGGCCTCTCATAGGAATGTCAAACCTTCAGACCACTAAGCCGAAATCTATTGGCGTACGAGTTCAAGTTCAATCAATCCACGGTATTTTAAGACCATTTTCCATTTTCTTCAATGAGTACCTTACTTACATCCTACACAATTGAATTCCACATGATTTCTCATTAGAACTCCGATAATTTTCCCCCCAATCTAGTCACTACTGAGCACATGATAATTGTCAGAAAAAACCCAAACATTCTTAAACAATTTATTTTAATTATTATGTGTTCACTTTACAAACTAGTATTAGACTTTTTCTGTTAATATCTTATTATTAGTCAAACTGAATTTTTCTTATTTTTTAATATTGTGGTTGATAATTGTCAGCAGAATATCCATTATCATTTGATGATTCTCCATTGTTTTGATCATAATAATTATTAGTAGTAGTATCATAATTTGTTGGAGCATTATAAGTTGAACCACTTCCATATGCAGCATATTCAATTGGTATTTGTCCTTCACTATATTGTCCACTTCCAGTACCAGCAAGTTGATCAAATTTACCACCATTATATTTTCCTTTAGAATATAATTTACTTTCAATATTAAATTTAGCTTTTACATTTTGTCTACCATATGAATGAACTTTACCTTTTGTATCATAATTAGCAAATTTCTTTTGATATTTACTACCTTTATGGAAATATGTAGTTTGATGATATTTTAATCCTTTATCTGCATTGCCATATGCTATAAATTTGCCTTGTGTATGTATTTTACCATGATTATCATTGCCACGATTTTTATCTCCACCATAATAATCATTATTATTGTTATATTGTCCATTATCATTATATGTAGCATAATTATCATTTGAATATGGTGTATATGGTATATAAGATTCACCGCCAAATGTACATGATATAATTACTAATAAATACAATGAGATAACACTTTTCATTATTATTTTTTTAGAAATAATCTCTACTGTACTATAATGTCTAGTTGTAAGTAGTTGGAGATCTTCTTTTTTTTAGTTTATTTATAACTCGATCAACGTTTTATATACTTTTTTTTCTCGTTAAAATAAACTTTTTTTTCGAGAGAAAAAAAAAGATTTAAATAAGTGCATCACAATATGACGTTATTTAAAGAAATAATACCAATGATTGAGTGCATAGTTACGTAATAGGTTAGTTGTACTTGTTCATTTAAAGTACACATGTAAAAAACAAGAAAGTGTATGATAACAATAAGAGAACTTTTTTTTCATAGTTGAAAGCGTGAGTCAATTGAAGCTAGACCACCATCGAAAACCTGGAAGCACTGCTTGACGGCCGTTTCGTCCTATTATGGGACTCCTCAGCAGTGCTCATTCACGATCCCGCCTCGCGAGCGAGATTCGAATCCAGGACCTACCAGTCTCTCGCCAGAGCATTTAACAGATAGACCACTGGGCCGGCATCCAACAGTGTTAATGTCTAACTTCAACTGATCGACGAAATTGAGCAACTGTTCACCAAAATTAAAAACACGAAGTTCAGCGTAGGGATCTCTTTTCAACGAATTTATTATCAAGCTGTACAATCGTATATATATATATATATATATATATATATATATATGAAAATGTTTTTTGTGAAATTACTTATTTCGTAGGGAAATGTGAACACAAATAACCAAGACGACGTAATAGAAAGATTATAATACTAGATTACGTAATACGAGTAATAACGGAATAAGTACTTTAACAAAACATTTTCATACATATATACGATTGTACAGGTTGATAATAAATTCGTTGAAAAGAGATCCCTTCGCTGAACTTCAGAACAGTTTTGTTGTAATAAATAAAGTTTGTAAATCGAAGAAAATAGATCAAATATTTCACGTAAACAGCTTAATTTCAACTTATTATAGACTCTTGAATAATGAAAACAATTTGTGGTTTTATCAAGTGTTCACCTGTTTCTTTTCAAAATCTTCTCAACAGATTATGTGTTAGACTCGAATTTATACTAATATTGTAAATATATTAATTCATTTATAACAATCTACCCAATGCCCAATTTATTCAAAATTATCAAATCAAAACTTGGTAATGATACCTACAAACTCATTAATATATTAATATTGTTTTGTGATATTCCTTTTTGTAAGAACAAGTTTGTTCTAATAGTGTTATGGAAATGGGTGAATTCGATAGTTTACGTCATAAACTGACCTTAGTTAGATAACCAATAAAAACCAGGAACCAGTATGAGGTTCCACAACATAATGCATCCTTTTTATTGCATGACCTTCGGGTTTCATTAAAAAGTGTTTGGTCTATAGATCATCAACTTAGGATCTAATAGTTTATAATTTTAACTTGAATCCGTTTGCGATATTTCAACACCATCGTTTATTCTTATCAATGATAATACTTCATAGTTATCATTCCAAGATTACTCTACCAACAAAATAATAACAAAAAGGTTAGGAAAAGATTTTCGAAAAAAATTTACTACGGTCAAATGGAATGCATTTTTCTACAATCGTCGGAAATTCAAACCACCAAAGAGAGATTATTTAACCTCGTTACATCCACTTGCGTTTACTAATTCAACTGCTCGTGTCGAGGTAATTATTCAGGGCGTATGATTCAGCAAGTCTTTTATTGTACAACAAAACACCATCTGCCTTAGTTGAGCAAAGAAACGTTGAGTGTAATTAACAGTATTTTTCTCGTTCAATTGATGGACACAGGATATCAAATTAACTTGAATGAAGTTTTTAAAATTATCCAAAGTATTACATCAAATTTACTACATGCTTTAATGGTTTGTGTTTTCCGTACTACTGAAGCTAAAAAAAATCCATATTCATAAATCTATGGTTCTTACTGAAAACGTGTACACCACCCCTTTCTACCTTGCTTGCCGGATTGCGAATAAATTTTATCTTAACTTTGACGAAATTCGTTCTTTCAAAAGAGAGTTAGAAAAGTTTATTTATTTTGAAGAAAGCGAAAATAATGAATTCAGCAGAATAACATTGATTACTTTTAATCGTTTAGGTTCTCGTCAGCTGCTTACAACCAATACCGTTTTAAAGGCAAAATTAGAACCAACTTAATATGCAAATAACAGTGTAATTGGTTACGTGTGAATATGTATCATAATGGTGGCGCAGCAATTCGAATAAATGTAATGAGATTAAAGAGATATAGATTTTCATGCTAGTATCCTTCACTTGGTCATCACAAAACGCTTAAAACTTGACTTATTAAATAACATAATCTGGAAGCTATTCAGTCGCGTTATAAACAGAGATGGATTATAGCTGGCATTGGAATCCAGGACCCCCGCTTCATCCTATTCGAGGCTCATCAGCCGGATGTCTGCATTTCAGAGTTGATGTTCACTCGAACACAGTAGCATCCGCTTCAAACTTACTTCAAGCTTACTTTGATTATTAAAATCCTTCTTTCTCCAATTAATTAGTTCAGTACTCAGTATTATTTTCATAGTCACTATCAAACTGTGTATGGAGCTATGATGAAAAACTAGACGAACGGAATTTATACGAATATTCGTCAAGGTTAGAACGAATAGTTTGACAATAATTGGGCGCCGAGTATAGAGAATTCATTGTATGTGAAAAAATTATATTTCAAATAGTCGAACTGAAATTTCTTAGCTCTATTTGTCTTTTCACTAGCCTTCAATTTATTATTTGTTATATAGGACAACTAAATATTAATTTCTTCTATATTACTTAACTTTTGACTAATTCGATAATGCGCAACATTTTTAGTTGATATATAGTAGAATGTTTTTAGTTTTAGTACAGACTCTGATATTGAATTTCTTGACTTTCAGTCACTATTGTAAACACTATCAGAGATATTTAAAGGTAGAATTTAGTTATTTCATTTACCTTGTATAATCTATAAGGTTGTTTCACAAGTGAAACAACTAACTTCAACAATACTTCCATGATGAAGATTTTCAAATTTGGCTAAACATTTCTTACTGATTAGTTATGTTTTACCGTGATTAACATTAGATATAAAGACAGTAAGTTTAAAACAATTTATTAGATTCTTGGTAGCAGTTCATTTTTATTGATCAAGTTAACAACAGATTTTTTATTATTTGGGGTTCGTTGGATTTAGGTACACTTCAGATAAATTTCCAATGCTTACATGTATTAAGTGTTACATTCGACACATTTCTTTCAGAGGAAATGGAGAGGTTGCTAACTAGTGAATGTATTCGATTTTCATGCATTATATTACAGAATCAAACTCTGTTTCTTCTATCTATTTATATTATGTTGTAATTTATGTAATGTAATTTATTACCAGTGACTAACCTTAATACGGATTTCCTGGAGTTCTAGTGAGAATTCGTGACCAGTGGAGTCAAATTTTTGTCAGATGTGAGACAGTTATCCATCTCAGGCAATGGATGAAAGGTTGCACAAGATCATAGATCGATTGAAGTTAGGCATTGACATCGCCAGATGTATGTTCACTAATCTAGAGATTAAGCGTTCGCACGCGAGACCGAAGGTCCTGGGTTCGACTTTCGAGTGCGGGGTTGTGGGTGCACCCTGTGAATAGTCCCATACTAGGACGAAACAGAAATCCAATGCTCCTAGTTTTTCGATGGTAGTCTCACTTAGATCCACTAGTGGATTCAACTGTTCAAACGTAATTTCATTTTTAATAAAAGAAATTCAATTATCAAGTAATACACTTAATACACCATCCCATTTTTACTAGTTATTTTTATTAATGTAATTGTCTAACTGGTCATAGTCCCACCAGCATGAAAAAATGTAGTATGAAAATGCCTAATCTCTCTGAGTTTAACAATGATTCATTTATCCATAAGTTTAATGTTCAAGAGGCCTAAATTTTATAAACCTTTGTAGAATACGTCAAAATATAAACATACAATAAAAAGCTACACTTTGGCGATAAGGAAATAAAATCTTGATCAATCGATTACAAGAGATTTTGTATTTCTTGAATAGTGTTAGTGGTTGAGTGTAGGACACAAGTTTCATTCATTTTCAATACTCGTCATCTGGATTTACTGAGATTTGAAGCCGGATATTCATGTTGACACTGAACAGATATCAGCTTGTTCAATTTGTATGATATAAAAACTATTACATTCAGGAGTGTATTTGGTGGATTATCAGTTCTTCGAGAAAATACCTCGGTAACTGCTGTAACCACTAATTGAAAGTTTACCTCTTCATTGTCTTGGATAGATTTTAAAATAGTTCAAACTAAATGGAAGTGAACAGTTTTGTTGTTTGGATAGATGTCTTTAATATTCCTACAATTCTTGAGTTAGATAAATCAGATGTGAGGTTTTCATTTTCATATTAAACAGTCTGATCAATGAAAACTGCAAGTAGGAATATGCTTTCCGAATTTCAACATTGGAGTGGAACTAGTTTGCTCTGACTAAGATGTTGGTGATTCGTCGCCTTTAAAGAGTGTGCTACATTTATCCCTAAGCATAGGAATAAGAAGACATCACCTAATACAAGACTTATATTTGTAGATTTTCGTCATCGTAATAACAATTAGAAACGATAGTAGCGTGAAGAATGTTTTCATCATTTTTGAGACATTTTAGAGGCACACATTCAAGATACTACATAGGATTGGGTTCACAACTTAAATGACTCTGAACAAAGATGCTACTTTTATATCGCTGACTTGAAATCCAGTGGATCTTAACATTAACTTTAGTTAACTTATGACTGATTAAAATACTCAGATAATGTAATCGCCAGGTTATTTACTTTATTTACTCTGCTTGTTAAAACTCATTAGAAATTCTTTTCTCAACCACTCATCTGTAGAATGGTTTCTATCGTGCATCAAATCTTGGGAACACACTATTGAATAATTCCAAATTAAAATGTCTAGTGCTCCCTGCTTTTTAATGTTTACCTAATTGATGTGGACTTGTAAGTGAATACAATTTCAAACTATAAAAACTTATCCACCAAAACAAATTAGTCAAAGATGACAAGATAGATCTTTTGAATGGATACTCCGATATATAAATGAATGATATAAATGAATAATTTAATAGTTAAATTCACGAGCCGATTTAAGCTAGAAAATCATTGAAAACTTGGAAGCACTGGACGACCGTTTCGTCCCAGTATGGGACTCCCCAATAGTGCGTATCCACAGTCCACACGCGAACATCTAGACCACTGATCCGGCGACCAACAATGTTGAGGTCTTACTTCAACTAAATCATGATATTTCTCGACAGTCCATTACCATCTCCAGTGAGTAACTATCTCACAACATACACGGTTGAGCTCCATTTTTCACGGCTTCTAACTAGACTTCCACGAAATACACATTGAAGCCAGTCACTAGTGAGTACATGATGATGATTATTAAAAAGGGGGGGACTAAACGGCTGTCCAGTGTTTCCGAGTTTTCAATAATGGTCTAGCTTAAATCAACTCATGAATTTCACTATTAAATTACTACAATCTTCACAAACCCCCCATTCTAATAAATGATTCCTGTTTAAATCTCACCATATTTTAATGATTTTGTCACTCAATTTGCACTTGTGTTTTGTACATTTTTTTGTTTGTCTGTCATTAAAGTTCACTTAGCTTTTTTTTCGCTTGTGTGTATGTTTAACTGATGTACTTAATGTTATTATCATTATCATTTTTTTAAAAGTTCACTATATAAATATATCTTCTTTTGACAAAAAAACTTGCTTCATCTTCGTGTTTACACTTAAATCATTATGAAGATTTTAAGTGTTTTTTTAATCATTATTACATTATTTGTTACCATGACAATTCAATATAATTACCAAACATATTCAAATAAGTATCGGAGACAATTCAATAATGAATATAACCCTTATTATAATAAGTATGACAATAATAAAGGTAAAAATTATGATGATGCAACTCCTACTACTAATAATAATGACAATTATAACTATGGTTACAATCGTAAACCTGGTAATAATTATCCATATAAAATGTATCCTAATAAAAAACGAAATAAAATACCTTTAACAAGAAAATATATTATGGAAGGTGAAGCTAAACATATTCATCAAAAACATGGTGAAAAACATATAAAAGCTGTTGGTGAATTATTTGGTTTCACTGATACATATCAAGGATCTGATTATGAATTAACAACAACATTTCATAAAGGTAGTATATCTACAAAATCTGGTAAACCAAAATATTTTTCAACTTATGATACAGAAGGTTTAATGAAACATTATCAAAATACACATGGACGAGCTAAATTTAATCTTAATGCTAAATCACATGGACATGAAAAATATAAAGATAAAAAAGAAATGAAAGCAACTGTAACATTTGAATATAATGATAATACAATAGATGATGAATCAAATTATTCACCAACAAGTCATCCATATGGAAAATTAGAAGGTTATTAATTGAATTATATTTTATATAATGAAGGAAAACGTATATAGATATATAACACTTATAAGTCATTTGCGTGCATGTATATAACGATTATATGTATACCATGCTGTAAAATTGTACTTGTTGTCACTATTGAGAGTGGGGTAAATCTTATCAAAGAAAAGAAGAAGAAAAAATAAACGATTTCTTATGACTTCTTTTCACTGTTTCTTTTTTGTGTTTTGTTTTTTGAATTAATAAAAATTTTTATATATGGTTGAAATTATGAATCAATTGAAGCTTGACCGCCATGGAAAACCTGGAAGCATTGCTTGACGACCGTTTCGTCTTATTGTAGGATTCCTTAGAAGTGCGCATCCACGATCCCGTCTCACGAGATTCGAAATAACACTTATAAGTAATTTGCTTGCTTGTATATAACTATTATATATATATATATATCATGCTGTAAAATTGTACTTGTTGTCACTATTGAGAATGGAGTAAGTCATATCAAAGAAAAGAAGAAAAAATAAACGATTTCTTATTACTTCTTTTCACTGTTTCTTTTAAAATCAATAAAATTTGTTATATATAGTTGAAATCATGAGTCAATTGAGGCTAGACCATCAAGGAAAACGTGGAAGCACTGCTTGACGATTGTTTCGTCCTACAGTAGGATTCCTCAGAAGTGCGCATCCACGATCCCACCACGCGAGATTCAAAATTTTCTTTAAATTATTTATGATATATATTTTAATTTGGTTAAACAATCATACATTTATACAGAATTATTTATTATGGTCAAATTTAGATTTAATTTTGTTTAAATTATCATTTATAATTAAAGTAAGGTAAAATTAATTAATCGCTGATTAGTGATTCATTTCATGTTTGTTTAACTCTTTAATTTTCAGTGAATTTTATTGTTCAAGTGATTTAATATCGACTGCATTATGTTAAAATGTTAGATGGTTGGATACATACCTCAGGAAACCTATTATCATCTAAGATGTACATGTAATCCTGAAGTTATTGTAAGATTCGAAATAGCATCATCGAACTAATAAGCAATTTTTGTAATTTGATCAATTATTCACTGTTTTATTTGTATTTAACAATGTTCGACTTTAGGGTATGAGTAAGAATATTAAACTTTTGCGTCTACTAATAGAATATATAAAACGTTCAGGAACTGTAATAAATACAACTATCGAACTTAAAGATATAAAAATCATGGATAAAGTTCTGTGAATTTATCTACTTATCATTTTTTGTACGTGGAACTTGACAGTGAGAACCAAGAATGATATTTTAGAACCTTAAAACAAAACTTAAGCTCTTCAATTTGTTCTTCTTATTTTCATTCAGTTTTTTGTATTATATTACATTTAGATGAGTCAAAGTAAAGGTCACAGGTTGAATCTTTTTCACCAGGTATTCTTGGCAAATGTGAACTTTTGATTAGACAGATGTATGTGAGAGGTCTTTCTGTTAATGCATAATGGGTTAATTATTTCCATAAACCAAAAAATTTATTACATAAATGTTAATAGAACTAAGAATTCAGTAATTATGCTTACACTTTATAATTGAAAGTTAACTTCTGTAACACAGTTCAAATGAATTCAACAGTGCTGAAGATGAATTTGAATCTAACTTTTTAAATTCAAGTACGTAAGACTCGTAGATATCTATTGGGGAACTAGGTGGTAAAATTCGTGAGATGATCAGTTTATCACCAGTCAACGTAGTATCAAAGAAAGTTTAGGGCGATTTATTTCAATTCTCCTGTTTTGATCCAAGTGATGGTTTAACTTAATGTAGTGAGTATATACAAATATGATTAAAAACAGAAACCAGGAACAATTATACAGTAATTTTCCTCCACATTCTTCATAAAAGTGAGGGGAGTATTATCAAATGAAAGAAATCTCTTATTATGTACTAATCTCCATGGAGTTAGTTTTTCTGCCGTTCTTTCTCTTCCTTTCCTCATCTTTCTTTTTTACAAAATCATCTTATTTATGCAGGACAAATTTTATTTTGTTACTCAATTGTACCAGAAATTATTCATTAAATAAAATTAATAAAAATTAATGTCTATCCGTAGTTCCTTTTGGTCCCTATATGGATAAAATATCAAGGAGTTTTCAATGATATTTCATTACAAAGTATGTTTCTCAAATGTCGTTTCGAAATCATGGTCCTGAGTAATAAAATCTTGTTTTTAGTGAAGGAAAATCAAAAACGCTAGAATACATTGAATCATTATGTGTTAATCAAATTAAATAACAGGGACACAAAAAAATGTATGAAGATTGTTCTAGAAAGATATAGGTGAACTTAAAATCATATCCAAATATTTAGATGTACAAAGTTATGTGTAGTCCAGATATATGATAATATTGTAAATAATGACAATATTTACACACTTAAGCCTGTTATCCCTCATACAGGAGCATGGGCCACCCACCAGCATTCTTCACTGAACTCTGTTCTTGGCAATACTTTCCAGTTGTTACCCAATCTTTTGATATGTGCTTCCAATTCCCAGCGCCGTGTGTCCTCTGGTCTTCCTCTTTTCTGTTTCTCTTCAGGATTCCAATTTAGCGTGTAATAATCCCACAATCAACAAACACTAAGTTTTTAAATGTCGGATACTTTCATATTAGCAATAAAATTGTTTGAACGATTGATAAGTAAACCCATATATTTGTGTAAACTGGGGTATTGATAGACATTCTGAATGTGATCAGTTGAGATATTTGATTCGTGATCTACCTTTCATTTAATATGAAGTGAAATCTTGAAACAAGTGGTCTATTTTCTTAAGAACTGAATATTTTCCTTTTGTTTTAGTAAAACAATTACCTTTATTTTTCAGTCATCTTGTGATCAGCGTTTTTTAGTTCTTAACTGTTTTATTTCAGGTCTGAGGCCAACTAGTGGCTTGTATGATACAAAAGTGATACAGTTCTAATTTTATTCAAATCATTTACAGAGAATTGACTTTAAGCGCGGGATAATAGCAGAAACTAAAGGATCAGTTATAACAGACTTCGATATGTTGTGTTCAGATTATGAGTAAGGTTGACTAAAATATTAGACTACAACAAGGAGTTAAACAGAGTTAAGTTTGAACAGTATTTATCTTTGATTGTCCTATTGTACAAAGAATCACAGGGATAGCTTAGAGACAACTAAAAGACTTCGCAATCATCTAACTTCGAAGTAGAAGTATGCAACTTTCTCTCCCATGAAGAAGAGTAGGATATTGTTTAATGATACTTAAATAGCCTTATTGAAATCAATTTTCCTACATTTTTTAAAGACTAGCCAAAATCAGATGTTCAATATAATTTATTAATATAATTTTGCCACAATAATGTTTTTAAATAATAAAACCATCAATAATGTAAGCATAAAGGTTATAATATATTCATCTTATTTTTTTCTGTGATGATATTACATACTTTTAGACTGAACTATTTGATTATAATGGGTTGAAAATCTAGATGGGGTACTCAACACCGACTTTAAATTAGTAACTTAATAGAATTATGCAGTGAGTTCAAAGTTTACTTATATGAATTATCATCAATATGATATATATAAGAAATATGTTTCTGTAATGAACTCGGCACCATTTCCGTTTTAGATTAATAAGTGAGCATATAACCATTCAAAGTAGTTACTTTTAAATTTCTTGATGGTGAACTATAGAGATGTTCCTAATACTGACTTACTTACGCCTGTTACACCTAATGTAGGAGAATAGGGCACCAATCTGGATTCTTCAGCCAGCTCTGTCCTGGGTTTTCCTTCCCAGCTGTTTCCATCTCTTTTCCTTTTCACTTTGGATCTAAAGTAAGAGGTCGCCTCGTGCTTCTGTTTGATGATTTCCCAAATGTACACATGTTTTTAAAGCAATTGATAGACTTATACGATGAATAAATTCTGTGGTGCCTTTACAGATGAAGTCCTAAAACATTATGCCTTTCATATTAAGATAAGAGGTGACTTCCATGAGATTATGTAAGAAATACATACAACTAGACATTAATCTGTAGTAACAATGGTAGTCTTATCAAATTTGTTGGAAATATATTTATTAAACATGTTTAAAGTTTGAGTTGTGAGTTAAAAAGAAAACATTTGTTTTATCTCTGTTCTGGTTACACAAGTCCCAGTCATTTACAATTATGATCGGTATTTCAAAATCATTTTCTGACATTATGTTTCTTTAAAACAATTTATTCGACTTTTTTAATTTTACAATCAGTACTGGGAAGGATTTGACAAATATGACTCCGGTTACTCCTAAGTGATCAATCTTCGTCCTATAGAAGGCCTTCTTGTACCAAATAGCTAAATGATACTTGTTTCATACTGCGAAATCTGAATGATAAGAATCGAATCCATTGGGAAGTATCAGGAGATAACTGGTACACTTTGTCAAAGAATCCCAAATAGCAAGAAACTTAGGTCTAGGGTTGATTTTATATTGACTATGTTTAACCACCTGACATATATTAAAACTACTGCTAGACTACATTGATACAGGTTTACATCTGTTTCTATAAAAAATTCAATTTCATAATAATAAAGTATGCAAAACTCATGTAGAAATTCTGAGATTTCGTGATGTACAGATATGATTTTATTAGAAATAAACTATTTGAACGCATTAATTTATTGACATACATAATCATTGCCATACTAGTTTGTAACACAAGGATAAATAAATGCTCAGTGGAAAAATATTCCTTTTTCCAATTAGTTCCTCTTCAAGGGTCTATAGTAGTATATAAATTTATAAGTTGAAAATTAACACTAAATAAATAATGATCGGTTAGTTTAGCAATGTATAATAATACATGTTTTCTAAAGACGATGTTAATTATAGTGAGGATTATAATGCTAATAATAATGGTGAGACTAAAATTTATGGACGACCTTTAAGCGACGCTAAAGTAACCTTGAGAAGGTTCACCTACTCACTAGGGTTAAATGAGGGTTATAAACCAGTGTGAGGAATAAGGATTACGATTTATATTTGATGATTAGGATCAGGGATTAGATTCAAGTTTTCCATCACGAACTGATATCAGATAAAATGCCAAAACGTTATTTAGCCGAATAAGTAAATGAATTTCATGCCGAAATTCAAGATCTGTTATCCTAAATCTGATTGGTCCGTCCATCAATTATAGTCTCGCTATAATAATACTAATACTACTGCCAATAATAATAATAGCAATAGGTAATTTATTCAAAACTAGCCTAGAGAAACTAGAAAATGTTTGATTTCTCAATATTATCAATTTAATAAGGATGCTGCAGGACGATTTAGACTTTTCAGATGATCTGGCTTTTCTATCACTCACGCAACAACAAATACAGGAGAAGACGACCATTGTAGCAGTAACCTCAGTAACAGTAGGTCTCAATATAAACAAAGGGAGAAACAAAGCTTTCCGATACAATACAACATGCACCAATCAAATTACACTTGACGGAGAAGATTTTGAGGATGTGGAAACCTCAACATATCTGGACAGCATCATCGATGAAAACGGTGGACATGATACAGATGTGAGGGCGCGGATCGGCAAAGCAAGAGCAGCATATTTACAACTGAAGAACATCTGGAACTCAAAACAATTGTAAACCAACACCAAGATCAGAATTTTCAATACAAATGTGAAGACAGTTTTACTGTATGGGGCGGAAACCTGGAAAACTACGAAGGCCATCAGACAGAAGATACAAGAGTTTATCAACAGTTGTATAGCAAGGTACTTCGGATCCGATGGCCAGACACTATCAGCAACAAGTTACTATGGGAGACAATAAATCTGATTCCAGTGGAGGAAGAAATCAGGAGGAAGCACTGGGATTGTATTGGGCACACTTTGAGGAAATCACCTAACTGCGTCATAAGGCAAGCCTTAAGGTCAAAGGAGAAGAGGACGAACAAAAAACACATTACTCCGGGAAATAGAGACAGACCTGAGAAGAATGAACGAAAACTGGATAGAACTGCAAAGGAAGGCCCAGGACAGAGTGGTTTGAAGAATGCTGGACGGCGGCCTATGCTCCACTGGGAGTAACAGGCGTAAGTAGATAAGTAAGCATCAATTCCATAAAAGTTTTTATTTTCAATATTTCCTAAATATAAAAATAATAGTTTATTTCAAAATGTATTTTGTATACATCAATGTTTTAATAAGTGCGGAATAACAGCCTGCACTCCACATTTTATACGCAACCTTAATAATAATAATAATAACAATAATAAGTTATACAGTATACATGTTCATATCAGTGAATAAACCTATATATATTCGTATTTATTCTTGAAGCACACTCATTTTATCATTTACAATAAACTATGCTGTTTACTAAGTATTATATAATAGGAATAATAATATATATTACTTTAATGAATTCAATTTATACATATTCTAATTATCGTTATAATGGATTTATGGGTCAATCTAAAAAAGATTCATATGAGGCTATTAACTTTCCATTGAAAACAATTCATGGGCGTAAATATGATATGGATTATGGAAATGGATTTATACCAGATAATTATGGTAATCATGATAACCACGATGATCAAGAGTATGATTCATATCATAGTAATGATTATGATGATAGTGATAAGCATAATTATGGTCATGTTAATTTAGCAGAACAATCAATGCGTAAATTAAAAGAACTGAAACATCGTAAATACAATGAAGAGTATAGAGGTGATATTGAAGATGAAGAGGAAGTTGGAGAATATAATAATCGATATTATAGATCACGTGATGAGTCGGATGTCGAATCAACACAACCAGCGACTGAAGGGCCTAGAAGAACTACAACGACTCCAATTTTTACGGGAGAGTAAAGTATTCATCTACTAATTCAGAGTATTCAGATAATGAATTAAAAAAAATCAACATGTAAATGAGTTAACTGACATTTTTAATGATCTGATATCATGAATATATGTTGTACGATTTAATAAAACAATACCGTCATCAAGTATAATTTTTTTAAGAGTTCATTAGTCTGTATTTCTTAGCAAAGAGAATTAAAGATAATTTTGAATTTTGTAGTTTTAATTTACAAATTAACTTCACTTACGTAGCCAATGGAAGCCAGTAATCATTCGATGGCTGTATCGTCTTAGTATGAGACTCGCCAACAGTAGGCATAGCGTTTTCTTTTTGTTTCTGTAGATTTTCTAATACCACTTCTATGGTATGGCTCCATTGGTATGTGGTAAGTTTGTCTTATTTGTTGTTGTAAATATGTCACTATTACTGTAAATATCTTACTAATTAGCAAAAGTATTTGTACATAAATAAATGGACGGGTGTTATAGACATTGTAGGGCCAGTGAAATATCACTGAACCCTAGCCAAACCATTCGAAAGTTAGGTCACTAAATATCGAACAGATTATCGAGGTCAATCAACGCGCATCAGTTAATCATACTCCATGGACTTGCCCATGCGGCAGTGGTTCTAATTTTGCTTGTATCTACTTCAACTAATATGCTCCTGTAATAACGTCCTTTGTGTTGTACAGTCTTCAAAGCATCCATGGTCCCTTGATACGTCGACGGGGCATTCCACGTAAGATGCCGGTCGCGAAGTGTGACTTCGAAGTTAGCTTGTTCGCTACACCGTTCACATCTTACTCGAGTAGGCCTCCAATTATTCGACATAGATCATCAACGTTGATGGTCTACAACATTTTGTCTCTATGTAATAACATACTTTAAATTGCATTAATTAATGATTCTCTATGTTGTTTAATTCACTCACACTACTTCTAATTGTCTATTTCCTACTCTGAGCGAACTGTTTAATGAGAAACATGTTCTAAGGTTTATGAAAAAATAAAAATAATTTTCTGTTTTATAGTATTTATTAAGTCATATGTTTCTATGGTCAAATGTACATCCAGAGAAATTTATATCGGTGAGTAATTTTGCGAATGGATTACTCATCGAAGAAACTAAGCATTTTCTAATGATTTCAACATTTCTGAAGGTAAACTGTTTTCAAAGTACTACGATTTTTAGATATCTTATTAAGGTAGAAATACACATGAAATGAAGAAGCGATTTCTTATTTCGTCAATAGCCAGAATATTATTACAAAAAGATAACGTACAGTTAACTGAAACGTGACTAGTATGTTTGGATACTAGCTAGCTCTTAAATTAATGATGTACATCCTGTCCTGTTTAGCATTTCTCAGCTTAATACAGCTTTATCTCAATATTGGTATTCACTTTTATACTTAAACCTAGTCCAAATCTTTTCAAACATTAACAACTTATCCTTTACAGAGTAGTCAAGATGCCACCAACTTGCTCAGCCAGTACAGTGTTTATTCATATGGGTTTATTTTATCCTGTTACTGATTTTCAAGATTTATTTTTGACCACTCATTTTTGCAATATTTTTTAACCTGAATGGATTTAATTGATGTAGCCGTTTCGCTGCTGAATGAAATGCAGTCTTAAGTATCAAGAATAGAATAACAGAAACTCTCAATAATAAAAGAAATCTAATGAATTCTGAAGCTATTATGTAGTACATTTCTAGGTTATAGTTGCAATACTCCGGAAAAAGCACTGTATTAGTTTTCTAGGTCGTTAAACTATTCAATAAAATGTTATTTTCTTAAAGGAAGTAGTATATATATATATATATATATATATATATATATTCACAAAGTTGGATTACACGATTATTAAGTGGTCACTTATGTACCTGTATGAGTTTTTGGGATAACTATAAGTAGCCGAATTCGGCTTATCAACCAGTAATTCTAATTTTTACTCTATTAGTCACTCCAATATTCGAAACAGAGAGAATTTCGTTGGCCTAATTGTAAGTATATTGACTAGGTAATTCAAATTATACACAGAATACTGTGTAAAGAAACTATTATTAAATACAAATATCACAGTGTTCTTTGATACAAATCGAATATCTCATACTTCAAACATATACATATTTAATGAATAATCATTCATTGATGGAAACTGAAGGATAAGATGCAAGTGTAGAGTTATTCTCATATTGAATGAAAATATTTAACTAAAAATGTTAAATGTTTAACCTTATATTTTGATCCCTGAGTAATCAGTTGAATTAGTTCAATGAATACTTTACTCTCCCGTAAAAATTGGAGTCGTTGTAGTTCTTCTAGGCCCTTCAGTCGCTGGTTGTGTTGATTCGACATCCGACTGGATTGGAACAAGTTTTAAGAATGCTAAGACCTCGAAAATCTGAGTAGGTGGAAAACATGACAGCTGTTTCATAGATAGGAATCAATCTCTTTTCATTTTAGCGGATAAAATCACAATTGATATAGTGAAATCAAGATCAATCTCCTTTTTATGTGCACTATACTCATCAGTTTGTCACTCGATATTAAGTAATTTAACAACAATATCTTTCTGATCTGGATCACTGTTGAATTTGAAGTCATTAGAATGTCCGTAAATAATAGAATTTGAGTAAAACTCATCATTTATCATCAATCAAGAGGTGACTATATCTGACACAATGGTGATCTATAATTAATTTGCGAATCATAGAATTTATTCATACGAGAATGTCTTATACCTCTTTATATACGAAATTCGAATATGGAATAAACTTTTAACATTTTCTTCGTAAGATTTCTTACTGTCTGATGGAGAAAATAAATTTACTTACCTTATATTTATTTTCTTATACCTAATTAATTAACTAATAAACACAATCTATTGTGTTTATTGTCTTGCAAATAGATGTATGTGATCGAGCGATTTTCTTTTGTTTAACCAATCTGATTTATTACTAGCTATCTATGAAGAAATCTGACTTTGCACACAACCGTAGAATTTTTTTAAAAAAAGAACAGTTCATTAATCAGATAATATTTAGCCACAATAACACCGACCTCAATGTTCTAAGTTTATATAATTTAGTCGACAAAATTACAGTCGACTATTAACAAATAATTTCGTTTTGTTTTAAAAGATGTAGGTGATTCAGGAAAGAAAATTTTTTTGACATTTGTTGGGGTTGTCAAATCCCCAGAATTTACTTGGTAAATAGCTTAATTTTGTAATTTTACTTTGAAAATTTGCATTTCCTTGTTTTCGCGCCAAATGCGCTCTTTTCACCTTCAAGTGGTATTTCCGACTTGTAAAATATCTTAAATTCTATTGGTCCGTTTTAGCTTTGAGTGTACTATTTTGTAATGCTGCCCAAGGACAAAATATCGCTGTATATATACGTTTGAGTTTTTCCCCTAATAACTTGCTTGTACTCTGCTGCTTACGGAATATATATTCCTCTACTTCGCCTTGAACTTCTTCCTCTAGTTAGCGGGGCCTGGGACAACGGATTAGATTAGCCTATAGTGTCATTTTGTCATTGGCCTTCGTTCGTTACCGCGAAAATCATATTAGCTCGAGCATATCAATATTATTTTCTAAATCTGCACAATTGTACGGTTTTTTTTAAAACGGCTTTCGGTGTGAAAAGTTATCCGATTATAACTAACAATGAGAAATAATAATCTCAAAGGAAAGTAAAAATTTGATGAACAAAGTTTGGTTTTTATAGACAAGTATTGAACTTAACGAAGAACTCAGGTGGAGAAACCAATGCAAATTAAAAAGTGATTTGGCAAAATATGAAAACCATACATCAAATATATAATTTGTTCATGTTCCATTGGTTGTCCTTTATACTCCTAATGATGCTTTCAATTCCTTTCTTATTACAACTATTCTCTATTTCCCTTTCGGTTCTCTTCAGTCCAATCTTCTCAATCCCCTTTTGACAGGCACTTCACATCTGATTGAAGTTACATACTACATATATCTGTCAACACAAGTTCCATACACCACAGTAACATTCAAGGTACTGTATACTACGCTTGAGTTTCGATAATAACGTCATTAATTCTCAAGATATGGTTATAATCTGTCAGGAAATAATAAAGATAATCAAATAAATATGAGGTATTGCTAATATACTAACAAACGTAACGCGGTTAAGCAAGAAGACAGTAAATAATTAGGTATAAGAAAATAAATATAAGGTAAGTAAATTTATTTTCTCCATCAGACAGTAAGAAATCTTACGAAGAAAATGTTAAAAGTTTATTCCATATTCGAATTTCGTATATAAAGAGGTATAAGACATTCTCGTATGAATAAATTCTATGATTCGCAAATTAATTATAGATCACCATTGTGTCAGATATAGTCACCTCTTGATTGATGATAAATGATGAGTTTTACTCAAATTCTATTATTTACGGACATTCTAATGACTTCAAATTCAACAGTGATCCAGATCAGAAAGATATTGTTGTTAAATTACTTAATATCGAGTGACAAACTGATGAGTATAGTGCACATAAAAAGGAGATTGATCTTGATTTCACTATATCAATTGTGATTTTATCCGCTAAAATGAAAAGAGATTGATTCCTATCTATGAAACAGCTGTCATGTTTTCCACCTACTCAGATTTTCGAGGTCTTAGCATTCCTAAAACACTATTTATTTATACCACATTTATAACGTACTTAACTTGAAAAAAATTGTTCCAATCTACCATCTAACAGAGTAGTTCTGTCCAGAATTCGTAAAGTATAAATGCTTACCTAATTTAAATTAATGGTTGTTGTTCAATTGACTAACTCCGCCTGTAGCTCTTCTAGAGTTACTGCCGGTCCCAAGCCCGGGTAAAGGAGGAGGGTTGGGCATGGGGTTAGCGACCCCATCCCGTAGAAAAGCTAACTCGCTAAAAAAACGCTAACCAGAAAAAATCATTCAAACCATTTAAACTCTGCCCTGGGAGTTGAAGGAATAATGACGTCTCATGATGAAAGCCGAAATTCTTCGGAAGTCACGAGACCGATGCACCTTCTAACAACCAGAGCAACACTCTTTATAGGTACATGGAACGTCCGGACAATGTGGGAGACAGGAAAGACCAGCCAAATAGCAATGGAAATGAGGAGATACAACTTGGCAGTACTCGGAATCAGCGAAACCCATTGGACACAAACTGGACAACAAAGGCTAGGTACAGGAGAGATGCTGCTGTACTCCGGTCACGAAGGGGAAAACGCTCCACACACTCAGGGAGTTGCTCTAATGCTGTCCAGAGAAGCACGAAATGCACTTGTGGGATGGGAATCTCATGGACCCAGGATAATCAAAGCATCATTCAGAACAAAGAAGCAAGGGATCACAATGAATGTTATCCAATGTTATGCACCCACCAATGATAGCAACGACGATGATAAAGATCAGTTCTATGAAAGGCTGCAATCAATTATAGCAAAGTGCTCAAGTAAGGACCTCACCATCCTTATGGGAGATCTAAATGCTAAAGTTGGAGTGGACAACACAGGATATGAAGATGTAATTGGACGACATGGACAAGGAGAGAGAAATGAAAATGGAGAGAGACTTGCAAACCTATGTGCTTTCAACAAATTGGTTATAGGCGGCACAATATTCCCACACAAACGCATACACACAGCTACATGGATCTCACCGGACCACACCACAGAGAACCAGATTGATCACATCTGTATCAACAAAAAATTCCGAAGATCAATGGAAGATGTGAGAACCCGGAGAGGAGCTGACATAGCTTCAGATCACCACTAGCTGGTTGTGGCCAAGATGAGACTGAAGCTAAAGAAAGACTGGACAACTGGACAAACAGCACTACAAAGGTTCAATACAGCCTTCCTTCGAGATACAGACAAGCTCCATGAATTCAAGATAACTCTCAACAACAGGTTCCAAGCTCTACAGGATCTACTGAAAGAACAAGAAACTACTTTGGAGGACAACTGGAAAGGGATAAAAGAAGCACTAACTTCAACGTGTCAGGAGGTTCTTGGTCCTAAGAAGCATCATCACAAGGAATGGATCTCTATGGGGACCCTGGACAAACTTCAAGAAAGGAAGAACAAGAAACTAGCAATTAACAACAGCCGAACACGAGCAGAGAAAGTCAAAGCACAAGCAGACTACGCAGAAGCAAACAGAGAAGTGAAGAAAAGCATTAAAGCCGACAAGCAGAAATACATGGGAGAACTAGCAAGGGCGGCGGAAAAAGCTGCAAGAGAAGGGAATATGAAACAACTATATGATACAACGAAGAAATTGGCAGGGAGATATAGCAAACCAGAGAGACCAGTCAAAGACAAAGAAGGAAAGACAATCACTGAGATTCAGGAACAGAGGAAAAGATGGGCAGAATACTTTGAGGAACTGCTGAATAGACCAGCCCCATCGAATCCACCGAACATCGAAGCACCCACACTGACCTTCCAATAGATGTCACTCCACCAACGATCGAAGAAGTCAAGATGGCCATCAGACAAATCAAAAGTGGGAAGGCGGCAGGACCTGACAATATACCAGCAGAAGCACTGAAGTCAGACATTGAAATAACTGCAAACATGCTTCACCTTCTATTCAAAAAGATTTGGGAAGAGGAACAAGTGCCAACGGACTGGAAAGAAGGATATCTCATCAAGATACCAAAGAAAGGAGATCTGAGCCAATGTGAGAACTACTGAGGCATCAGTTTGTTATCAGTACCAGGAAAAGTTTTCAACAGAGTGCTGCTGAATCGGATGAAAGACGCAGTAGACGCCGAACTAAGGGATCATCAGGCTGGATTCCGTAAGGATCGGTCGTGCACAGACCAGATTGCGACACTACGGATCATCGTTGAACAATCAGTTGAGTGGAACTCATCACTATACGTCAACTTCATCGACTATGAGAAGGCGTTTGACAGCGTGGATAGGAGAACATTGTGGAAACTTCTTCGACACTATGGAGTTCCTCAGAAGATCGTCAACATTATCCAAAACTCATACGATGGATTACAGTGCAAAGTGGTGCATGGAGGACAGCTGACAGATGCATTTCCAGTAAGGACCGGAGTCAGACAAGGCTGTCTACTCTCCCCATTTCTCTTCCTTCTAGTGATTGACTGGATTATGACGAATTCGACATCTGAAGGGAAATACGGAATACAATGGACTTCTCAGAATCAATTAGATGATTTGGACTTCGCAGATGACCTAGCCCTCCTCTCTCATACACACGACCAAATGCAGATGAAGACAGCAAATGTAGCAGCAGCCTCCGCATCGATAGGCCTCCACATTCACAAAGGAAAAAGCAAGATTCTCAAATGCAACACGGAGAACACCGACCCAATCACACTTGATGGCGAAACTCTGGAAGAGGTGGAAACATTCAAGTACCTGGGGAGCATCGTTGATAAACAAGGAGGATCGGATGCAGATGTAAAGGCAAGGATTGGCAAAGCAAGGGCAGCATTTCTACAATTGCAGAACATATGGAACTCAAAACAACTCTCAACCAATTTCAAGGTCAGAATCTATAATACGAACGTCAAGACAGTCCTACTGTATGGAGCTGAAACGTGGAGAACTACTACGGCCATCATCAGGAAGGTACAAGTATTTATAAACAGTTGTCTACGCAAAATACTCAACATCCACTGGCCGGATACTATCAGCAACAGCGTTTTATGGGAGAGGACAAACCAGCAGGTTCCAGCTGAAGAGGAAATAAGGAAAAGACGTTGGAAGTGGATCGGACATACATTAAGGAAATCACCGATGTGCATCACGACTCAATCCCTAACTTGGAATCCGGAAGGGAAGCGGAAAAGAGGAAGGCCAAAGAACACACTACGCCGGGAAATAGAAGCCGATATGAAAAGGATGAATAGCAACTGGAAAGAACTGGAAAGGAAGGCTCAGGACAGAGTTGGATGGAGAACGCTGGTGAGCGGCCTATGCTCCTCGACGAGGGGTAACAGGCGTAAGTAAGTAAATAAGTAAGTTCAATTGACTAAACTACGAAACTCAGAAGACAATCAGTTGATAAGTTTAAATTATTTATTGAATAGCATAGGATTTCTAGTGAACATGTAATACATATCAAAATAGAGCAGAGGGGTTTTGTAGGGAATTTAGTATTTGCACAGTTGAAATCATGAGTCAATTGAAGCTAGACCACCATCGAAAACCTGGAAGCACTGGACGGCCAGTAGAGTTCTACCAGGTCTGTTGTAGAGATATCAGCTCACTGAAGATAATTGGTGAACGGTCGCTCAAAATCGTGGATTGGTTTAAGTTAGACATTAACACCGTTGGATGACAACCGGCCCAGTGGTCTTTCAGTCAAGGGCTTCGGCTTAAGACTGGTAGGTACTGTGTTCGAATCTCGCTCGTGATGCGAGATCGTGGATGCGCACTGCTGAGTAGTCCCACAATAGTACGAAACGGCCGTCCAGTGCTTGCAGGTTTTCGATGGTGGTCTAGCTTCAATTGACTAATGATTTCAACTGTAAAAACATATTAAAATAATCATTATTTTCTATATTAATCAATTAATCAGCTTTAACCGTGGTTCATGTGCAGACAACATTGAATGAACGAATTAATGGAACTAGGAATAAACAAGCATAAAAGCTGAATTAAAAAAAGAAAATCTCGTCATACATTCAGAGAATTACATCAGTATGCGCGAAGTTTTGCAATAAATTTCAAGAGTGACCTTCGTTTTCAGTTGATAAATTTTATGAATGATTCTGTAAATTTTAGTGAATGACAAGTCATAGTTATGATGGAAGGATTTTGTGACGATTAGGCAAATCTGAAGGTGTTATTTATTACAGATTGACGCCAATCGATGTACCATTAAAAGACAGGAACCTTAAATAGCTGTCTCACCTTAGTACTGGACTACTCTGTGGCATGCACTAAAAGTCCTGGTTGCGATTACTAGCCTAATTTTTGGTGCCAATTCCTGAGGAGACCAGTACCAGGAAAAACAGCTGTTCAGTGGCCCTAGATTCTACCTGTACCTCAAATGATATAATTCGGTGACAAATGAAATACAAGGTAATCAACTGTCAAGTTTCCCAACAAAACTACCAGACAGTTAAGCTTAATTCACTTACTATTAACAATTTAAAACCAACTTTGATGTGAATCGAGTTGCGTAAAATGTTAGCTAGATACTACGTATTACATATCTTTTTGTCATACTTAGTGTTCTGATTTTTTGTTGACCTCAAAATGTACTTAGTAACTGTGTCATATGAAGAACAAATTCATATAAATACGTATATTTGATTAAGTTATCCAAATGCTTAGAAGAGTTTGGTTTATTTCCCATAATTCTCATTGTGATGAAAGAAAGTAATAATAATCTTCCTTTACTACTACTATTCAGTTATATAATATTCAGTTTAATAACATCAGGAAATATGCAGCCAGATTTCAGTCAACAACTCATGCAAACGATTGAGGCTGCACAAAAAGAAGCACGGAATGCAACGCACACACAAGAAAGAGAAGAAGGTGTGTCCAAGAGTAGGGAAAGTGATTTGAGCTTGATGCAAACCGGTGGAAAGTATTATAAGAAGAGACTATCAAACAAAGGAACTGGCAAACGCTATGAAGGTCTCTTCTTCTCTCGTGGTTATTCAATTTATGGTGATATTGATTCAGAAACAACTACATTTCAATATGGTGGCAAAATCACAAAATATGGCAAACGTAGACGAAAGTATTCCGACAGAGATACAATTGGAAGTTCGGATAGATATGCTAGTTCATATATTAAAGATGACTTTAAGATTAGAGCTAAAACAAAGAAAAAATATCAAAGAGATTATGATGAAATGTCTGATATGACTGGGAGGGTAAGGCAAATCACTAATATTTGGGGCACTCACGGAAATCGTGGGATATCGAATACCAAAGGAGAATCGAAAACATCAGAATCGCAAAACAGAACTGAAATAGAAATTTTTAGTGATGACGAAAATAGGAGAAGTATGTGAAGTTACAAATGCAGTAAATCATCAAATGTGATGTGTTTTATTCCACATATAATCAAATATATTTAATTAAAAAATAATGTCAAAGATTATTATATATATATATATATATATCAGAAAATCTTTCAAGTAATATTATTATTTCTTCCAAAAAGTAAAATGAATTTTACATTTGTTACGCTATTTTCTTACCATATATAGCCGTTCGCGTCAAGCTAAAAGGTACTTTGTATACTGGGGGAGCATGCAGAGTGGCGTGAGTGGGAAGAGTTGGTAAAGAGACGGGCAAAAGAAAAAGTTAGTCAACGACCTAGCAAGCGCACAAAATCCACTTACAGTTAAGAAGAAAAACAATAAACAAAAATCAATAGTAAAATAAGCGAGCAATATTATTTTCACTTAGATCGTCATAAGATTTTACTGAAGAATATAGATAGCATTGTGTGAGAAGTGACAAACGAATACGGAATGTGGAAACACTGCTAATATCGTTTATTAAGTCGTATCGGACCAACGAAGAAACAGGAGTGTAAAGAATTTCTTCTGAACTGAAACTAGGTCTATAGGATCGGATACTCATAGCTTCTGATATATTAAGTAGAACAGATCGAACCCCATTGGGAAATGACTAAATTTTATGATAGATTAATAGTAATGATTTCTTTATCTTTATCGAATTCTCACTGAATATGTGGATATTCATAGATATTAAAGGAAAGATTGATGACCATCTCAGTAAGAGCAATAATGTTCGGTTATGCGTTGTTCTAAGAACAAAAGGAATATAACGTAAGATATTTCAGCACTACATTTAATTCATCTTACCTCAGATTCAATATTTCAATTGTGAAATCGAGGTAAGTCCAGGACAACGTTAGAAGAACCTGGAAATTTCAAAGTCACTTTTGTCATTGGCCTTTTTACCAGTTCTGTCTTCAACTAACTCCATTTTCATGTAGTGGACAACATACATAGTCAGTTGATCGATAGTCTACTATGAGTAAAGCCTACTGACTTGGGTGTTATGTACAATCTATACTCAAAACGTGTGTATCTAACACACTTAACACTATCATTTCCATTCTGTAATGGCAAGTAACATCTTATAATATTTGTTCTAGACAATGTGATAACTAACAAAAGTACTCCTACTATACTTGTGACACGATAAGACGAATTAGTGTAAGAACTAATCTGATGAATTAACTTTAGGGCGTAAATCATCACAGATTTTACACTCGGTTGATCTTCTACCAGTTCAGCTTCGTGCTTAATTTCCATAAAATAATGAAATATTGGTTTCATGTGCTGGATATTCACGTTTCCCACAAATAAAAAAATTGTATGAAATTCAGGAACAACTGGTGCACTTATACTACGTGCACTGAATTTAATTTGGTCACTTAAAAGTTTAAGCATTGACTATTAACTTTACCAGCACAGATTTGATTAAACACAGATAACTTCTCTAAATTGTGACTAACACTGAGAGATAACAACAACTGACGAAAATGTTTCGCATGAACATCCAAACCAGCTAATCAAGAGTGAAATCAGTTAATATGCGCGTATACTGTTTATACTCTGGATAAATAAAACTCTCATAAATTTCTTGTTGTCAAATTAAATGACAAAGTCAACAGTATTATAGACAAAGATGGACGGTGATCAGCGATTACATCCAGATGACGAGTCCAAAATAGGATCAAACGTGAGTAATGGATATCACTAATAGCCACCATTCATCTCTACTTATAATGCGCATGACATTATGGCACGATCGAAGCAATCCATACAGGATGTACATATGCCGAAAAGATAATGATCAATAGCAGTCCTAAACATCAATGGAAAGATAAATGAATTAAAGCCAATAGAGTAGTGAACGAAGACTTGGTGGATGAAAGCTATTTATTATTTTACGAGAAATTACACAATTGTCCCTTACTGACTTCATGATTCTTACAATTATGTTGTTATTCTAGTTGCTCTCTGTTTCCCTTCCTATACTTTTCAACTCAGTCTTATGCTATCAAGCATCCCACTTCCGATTGCTGCTACATACTACTTATATCTGTTAGGATAAGTAGCATACACCAAAATAGTAGTTATGAAATCTGGAAGTATACATAGAAGATGAAGAAGGAACATATACCATAACAAGTGATAAATGTTGACAATCAATAGTAAGTCAATATGTTCATTAAATAATAAAGTTTCGACTAACAGATTAAATCACTAAACATCCAGTCATTGTTACGATTTCAAACTGTGATGTATAAATTTCTGCTTGAACAGTTGTAAATTATTACTGAGCTTTACATAAGAATTTGGTGGCATTTCAATTGAAATCAATCCTTCACGAATACATCCTACAACTTGGAAACCAACTTCCACAAAACTAATCCAACGAAGTTATAAATCAGTATGGGGATACAGACTCATTAGTCTTGATCTTAAGTGTCCTCACGGAGACTGAGGATTTCAGATTCGATTCCCACATTGGATAACAAATCAGTATTACCAGGATAGGTCAAGAGTAAGAAAAAATTGTTTTTGAACATATAAAGGAAGTTCTAGTTTTCGTATAGCTAATGCTTCAATGTACCAAACTAGTCGATATAGCACATCAGTTTCATTTAAATGGAACAAAGCAGTGTAGCGTATTACTTCATAGCATTTCAAATCATTGTGAAGTAATGAAGATACTAATACGGCTAAATATGATAAAAGATCAGGTGTTGTTATTATGAATAAGTCCGATTAGAAATATAAAATGGAATCCGTTGGCGGTGATGTAAGCAAATTTACGGCAGTGTGTTGACTCTAATGGAATACGGAAATTAGAAAGATAAATCAACTTGAGTCTCATGAAATTGCTTAACATTGGTGCTAGTAACAAAGAGAAATTCAATTTATGAAAACATATGGGTTCGATGTATCCTAATTTATATGGACTATCGAGAATTCATAAGCTTAATACCCCGTTACGTCCAAATCTATCAATGTGTCGGTCACCTACACTTAGTTTTTCAAAATAGTTGACAAAAGCATTAAACCCTATCCAAAATCAATTTCGTAAATATTCTTTGAAAAACTTATTTGGGTTAATTAGTTACCTGGTGGATATTACTATAAAAACCAAGACAATGTGCTCCCTTGATGTAAACACTATATACAAATGTGCCTCTTATGGAGACTGTCAGTATTTTGTGTGACTATACCTCATTAAGTAACCGTCCATTGCCATTTTCTGTAAAAGCTCTTAAAGATTTATGATTATTATGTAATGGCAATGTGAAATTCACTTTTGAGGGTGAGCATTTTCGACAGCTATGGGTAGCCCTTTAGGACCATTGTTGGTCGATGTGTCTAAGGGATATGTGGAAAATCTAGCTGAAGACTCAATTCACAAGATGTGTCTGTACAAGCGGTACTTTGATGATGTGACAATTATAGGTGATAAGCGTGAAAATATAAACCGCTTGTTAAAAGAACTCAACACAAGTCAAATGCCCATTACGTTTAAATGCGAAGAAGAGATGAATAATTAACTTCCTTTTCTAGACATATTGATTGGTAGGAGAGACTATGGTCCCATCAAATGTTCTGCATATAGAAAGACGAAATGAACGTGGCAATATCTTAATATCCATAGTCATTGTCCGACCCATTACAAATATGTTTTAATTAAGGGCTAATTCGGTAGGTTCAATCATATTTGTGCTAGTGATACCATTGAACGAGACACGAAGCTCATAAACATTAATGAATAACGATTATTCATTGGAGTTTACAAACCGCTGCGAAGGTTGCAATACGATGAAATCTACGACGTTTTTGGTACTTATAAAGCAACTCTACATTACTTCACCATTTAGAGGCGACTCATATAGTCTCATGTTGAAACGAAGGATTAAATTAGTTATCAGTAGGACATTTTATGCAACCCAACTCGCCATTATTGAAAAGTCGAGATTAACGTTTCAGCAAAAACCCAAGCAGCATGTAAGCAGTTGTGTCACATCCTGTTGCGTCTGTCGATTTACAAGTAAGTTCGTAAACACGTATATAGAAAGTAACAATCGTGATGTGCACATACATGCGGAAGAACACATACCTAAACGGTTGCAAAAACAAATGAATTCCATTGGTCAAACAGGACCATAGGACAGAAAATTATCTCCCTCAATTGCTGAATATGTGATAAGGACCGGTCATAAGTTCGACATCAAGTCAAACTATGCAGTTTTGTACAGAAGCTTTCAACGAATTATATTAAGTTACATTGAAGCCATGTTCAATTAATAATTGATTGTACTTTTTGTATATTTTAGTCATGTTTATATGCACTTGTTGGTTGAACTGCATAATGCTACTTGATTTTTGATTTCGAATAATTGATGCACTTTAAAAAATTGTTGAAATAACTGATTGTAAAAGAATATTATTAATTGGTGTTTTCATCAGAATACTATTTTTTAAAAAAAATTATGAACCAAATTTTTTAAAATAAGCTTTTCCATTATCGTTGTTCATCATGCACCCCTAAAATGCGTTATAATCTGGATCAAAAATTAGTTCTAACAAGAAATCCCTTGAAATGTAGCTTGTAGACCAAACGTTGACCATTATCAACGTAGAGACCACTCTTTGATCCGTTTCTTCGTCCAGATAATCGTGGTGGAATATATCGATTATGATATGAACTCGATCCATCTTCATTCACAGTTATGTATGTACGCTGACCATTTTCACTGGAGAGACCACTCTTTAAACCGTATCTTCGTCCAGATAATTGTGGTGGGAAATATTGATGGTGATGTGAATTCGGTCCACTTGCATTCACAGTTATGTATATACGTTGACCATTGTCACCGGAGAGATCCGTTTCTTCGTCCAGATAATTGTGGTGGAAAATTACTATGCTGTACATGTTGATAATGATGTGAATTTAGTTCACTTGCATTTAACGTTATGTATATACGTGGACCATTCTCACCGAAGAGACCATGTTCAAATAATATTTGATTGTATTTTTTGTATATTTTAGTCATGTTTATATGCACTTGTTGGTTGAACTGCATAATGCTACTTGATTTTTGATTTCGAATAATTGATGCACTTTTAATATTTTCGAAGTTTTCAATCGATTTCGCTTTTACTTACATTAAAGCCTTAGATATACGAAAACGGAAACATTCTTTATATGTTCAAAAACAATTAGTTCTTACTCTTTACCTATCCTGGTAATACTGATTTGTTATCCAGTGTGGTGTTTACATAGTTTTCGTCCACTTTATTATTATTATTATCTTTGTTTACCTTCCAATTTGTCGACTTGACCTTTTATTTTTCAAATAAAATATCGTAACAAGTACATGTGTGGTCAGATTGTTAGAAATGTATTGGGAAAATATAGGACATAATTTTGATAACTTTCATCTTCTCATCTCATCGTCGAAACATATTTCTACCGATCATGAATCTCGTAATTTCATTTAAAGTGTAGGCTGATTCAAGTTAATATTGCACATGAGTCATTTAAACATTGATAATTGTAATCAGAAGGGGTTTTGTGGAGATTTAGTATTTTCATAGTTGAAAGCTTCAGTCCACTGAAGCTAGACCACCCACAATAGGACGAAACGGCCGTCCAGTACTTTCAGGTTTTCTTTGGTGCTCTAGCTTCAATTGACTCACACTTTCAACTATTGATAACTGTATTTCATTATTGTAAATAATATATATATATATATATATATATATATGTTAGTGTAGAGCCATGATGAAAAACTGATTGAAAAGAAATTTCTTCGCTCGATTCGTTCCTTTTTATTTATCAAATGTCAAAATGGGAATTTTCATTGTATTTTATTTGACAATCTTGAATTCCCATCCTATAACTGAAAACTACATAGTTTGCCTTAAATATGATAATAATTGCTTCAAAGTACAAACTGCGTTTCAATAGTTTTAACGATATTGTATGATTCAGTGCAATGCCAATTTGTATATTATGTATGATTTTGTTAACGCCTAAAGAACACTTTTATCTATATATGAAAATGTAACATTCAATACTATAAAAGTCAACTAAACTTTCAAATATAAGTGATAATTTAGTTGAATGCCTAGATTTTCTAGCTTCATCAGTATACTGTTTGTTGGCACCTTAACAAATGCTTTGCTGAAGTCTATGTTGACAAAATCTACTGATTTTCAGCTGTACAGAGCCTCCATCCATTTCATTTTACTACAAAAAAATTTGTTTTGCGAGAGAAACCCTTTCTGAAGCCATGTTGTTCTCTATTTAACAGATTGTTGGCTTTCACAAATGTCAATATGATCTTTTTGACTATTCTTTCCAATATTTTAACCGCGACACTTGTGAAGCTGACATGTCTCTATTTCGATGGAAGTTGTCTTGGTCCTGTTTTATGAATTGAAGTGACAATTTCATTCTTCCAGCCGGTAGGTAATACACCATGGTCAAGTGACATATTGAATATCACAATTAGTGTGGCTGCAATGTACCGTTCAATTTGTCTCAGGATTCAGGGATGTAGTTCATTCGGTCATGTTGACTTTTTAGTGTCGAAGGTGCTAAGAGCCTTAAGTACATCATCTCGATCAAAGTCCACGGTAAGCAGACGGTCTGTTGACTTGGTATTTGATTTCAGTTTTTCATCTAGAAGGAACTCCTGAGTGATAAATGACCCCAAGTAGTTTGCCGTAGCCTCTGCTTTCTCCTGATCAGCCTCTATCGTTTCAGATCTATTTCCTTCCTTAAGTAGGTTGAGAATCCAATGCTACATCCTTGTTCTGTAATTTATATACGAGAATCGTCTCTTAGATTTCTTGATTGGAGATTCGGCTAAATGCATTTCATATTTTTCCTGAGCTTCTTGGATTTTAATTATACACTTACTTCTTAACAACCTGTAGCGTTCCATCGTACTTGCTGTGCGAGGGCTCGTGTCAACGTTCCAACATTTCTTCCTTTGTTTTAGTATATGTCGAATATCCTGACCCATCCAGGAATGGCCGTGCCTCTTCTTCTTCGAGACTATACAGGGTATGATTGGTTGGGTTACTTGATTATATAACTTCCGAAAATGAGTCCACGCCTCTCCTGCTGATGCCCCTGAGCCAATTATTCAGTTTTCAATTGAGGCCGCAGAGTTGATCCCCTTCATGTCTGGCTTCCTTATGTTAGGAAGGGCCGGCACAGCTGTTTGACAGGCCATTTCAGCCATGAAATTAAATAAGATGACTGCACGATCAATTCTCTCTAAAGGTGGGAAGAAAGTTATGTGACTGACATTATCACCGTGTGTGAAGATTAGGTCCAAGAGATGTGAAGAGTTTTGTAGGTCATATCAGGTAGGATCTCCAATGTGGTGGGATAAAGTTGGGGCAATTGTGATTTCCAGCGATTCACAATCAAACGATGTTATTGATGAACCTACTTCAACTTCTCAACAGTTTACATACGGTGCATTAAGGTCTCCTACAATTATGCATTCACCCCTCTTATACCAGGACTTGATTGATTAGGAGGAAGTTATCTACTACACATTTTGGATTGCGGCATACTACAATTAATCCGATATCTTATCGTCTACACTTCAGCCTCAAACAGACCTGTTCACATGTTCCTAAGTCATGTGCTATTTTCTCGGCAGTTCGTGTGGTCAAGGTACTTCTCGTATACAGGATAACCACACCACTCTTACGGTCTGTCTATAGGCCCTCATGGATAAAAAACAGTCAACTGGATTTCATCATCAAACATTTCTGACGTCAACCATGTTTCTGAGACAGCAATGACATCCGGGTCTTCTATATCCACCAGTGTCTTCAGCTCCGCCATTTTATTTTGTAGGTTGCGAGCATTTGTGTAGCACACATTTAATTCTGTAGAGAACATCGCTTTACCATCCAGAGTGGTTTGATGATCGTTTTGCTATGAATCCAAAAACTTCTAAGCGCGAGGTCTGTCCACCGTTTCGACGGCACTCATTTATTTCTACTTCTGCCAATCGTCTCTTAATACGGTCAACCAGTCTGAGATCGTCAACGACGTATATTTCATATCCAATCGGTTTGCATGGGTTTTCCAACAGCATGTTTCTTTCTTCAGCCGAAGCGAAGGTAACCATTAAGAGGCGGCTTTTATGAGTACTTTCAGAACCCCCTTTTTGTCCTATTTTATAAAGCTTGCAGATGCTAACTCCTGAAACTGTTTTCGGGAATATCTTGCTTATTAAGTACTTAATGTGGATGAGGTCGTGCTCAAATCTAGCCTCTGGTTCCTTTTCGGAAGATTCTCTCAACTTATGAAAAATGACTGAACTGTCAGTGAGGTCCGTCTCAACACGCTGTGAAAATTCCCATTTTGACATTTGATAAATAAAAAGGAACGAATCGAGCGAAGAAATTTCTTTTCAATCAGTTTTTCATCATGGCTCTACACTAACATATATATATATATATATATATATATATATATATTATTTACAATAATGAAATACAGTTATCAATAGTTGAAAGTGTGAGTCAATTGAAGCTAGAGCACCAAAGAAAACCTGAAAGTACTGGACGGCCGTTTCGTCCTATTGTGGGTGGTCTAGCTTCAGTGGACTGAAGCTTTCAACTATGAAAATACTAAATCTCCACAAAACCCCTTCTGATTACAATTATCAATGTTTAAATGACTCATGTGCAATATTAACTTGAATCAGCCTACACTTTAAATGAAATTACGAGATTCATGATCGGTAGAAATATGTTTCGACGATGAGATGAGAAGATGAAAGTTATCAAAATTATGTCCTATATTTTCCCAATACATTTCTAACAATCTGACCACACATGTACTTGTTACGATATTTTATTTGAAAAATAAAAGGTCAAGTCGACAAATTGGAAGGTAAACAAAGATAATAATAATAATAAAGTGGACGAAAACTATGTAAACACCACACTGGATAACAAATCAGTATTACCAGGATAGGTAAAGAGTAAGAACTAATTGTTTTTGAACATATAAAGAATGTTTCCGTTTTCGTATATCTAAGGCTTTAATGTAAGTAAAAGCGAAATCGATTGAAAACTTCGAAAATATTAAAAGTGCATCAATTATTCGAAATCAAAAATCAAGTAGCATTATGCAGTTCAACCAACAAGTGCATATAAACATGACTAAAATATACAAAAAATACAATCAAATATTATTTGAACATGGTCTCTTCGGTGAGAATGGTCCACGTATATACATAACGTTAAATGCAAGTGAACTAAATTCACATCATTATCAACATGTACAGCATAGTAATTTTCCACCACAATTATCTGGACGAAGAAACGGATCTCTCCGGTGACAATGGTCAACGTATATACATAACTGTGAATGCAAGTGGACCGAATTCACATCACCATCAATATTTCCCACCACAATTATCTGGACGAAGATACGGTTTAAAGAGTGGTCTCTCCAGTGAAAATGGTCAGCGTACATACATAACTGTGAATGAAGATGGATCGAGTTCATATCATAATCGATATATTCCACCACGATTATCTGGACGAAGAAACGGATCAAAGAGTGGTCTCTACGTTGATAATGGTCAACGTTTGGTCTACAAGCTACATTTCAAGGGATTTCTTGTTAGAACTAATTTTTGATCCAGATTATAACGCATTTTAGGGGTGCATGATGAACAACGATAATGGAAAAGCTTATTTTAAAAAATTTGGTTCATAATTTTTTTTAAAAAATAGTATTCTGATGAAAACACCAATTAATAATATTCTTTTACAATCAGTTATTTCAACAATTTTTTAAAGTGCATCAATTATTCGAAATCAAAAATCAAGTAGCATTATGCAGTTCAACCAACAAGTGCATATAAACATGACTAAAATATACAAAAAGTACAATCAATTATTAATTGAACATGGCTTCAATGTAACTTAATATAATTCGTTGAAAGCTTCTGTACAAAACTGCATAGTTTGACTTGATGTCGAACTTATGACCGGTCCTTATCACATATTCAGCAATTGAGGGAGATAATTTTCTGTCCTATGGTCCTGTTTGACCAATGGAATTCATTTGTTTTTGCAACCGTTTAGGTATGTGTTCTTCCGCATGTATGTGCACATCACGATTGTTACTTTCTATATACGTGTTTACGAACTTACTTGTAAATCGACAGACGCAACAGGATGTGACACAACTGCTTACATGCTGCTTGGGTTTTTGCTGAAACGTTAATCTCGACTTTTCAATAATGGCGAGTTGGGTTGCATAAAATGTCCTACTGATAACTAATTTAATCCTTCGTTTCAACATGAGACTATATGAGTCGCCTCTAAATGGTGAAGTAATGTAGAGTTGCTTTATAAGTACCAAAAACGTCGTAGATTTCATCGTATTGCAACCTTCGCAGCGGTTTGTAAACTCCAATGAATAATCGTTATTCATTAATGTTTATGAGCTTCGTGTCTCGTTCAATGGTATCACTAGCACAAATATGATTGAACCTACCGAATTAGCCCTTAATTAAAACATATTTGTAATGGGTCGGACAATGACTATGGATATTAAGATATTGCCACGTTCATTTCGTCTTTCTATATGCAGAACATTTGATGGGACCATAGTCTCTCCTACCAATCAATATGTCTAGAAAAGGAAGTTAATTATTCATCTCTTCTTCGCATTTAAACGTAATGGGCATTTGACTTGTGTTGAGTTCTTTTAACAAGCGGTTTATATTTTCACGCTTATCACCTATAATTGTCACATCATCAAAGTACCGCTTGTACAGACACATCTTGTGAATTGAGTCTTCAGCTAGATTTTCCACATATCCCTTAGACACATCGACCAACAATGGTCCTAAAGGGCTACCCATAGCTGTCGAAAATGCTCACCCTCAAAAGTGAATTTCACATTGCCATTACATAATAATCATAAATCTTTAAGAGCTTTTACAGAAAATGGCAATGGACGGTTACTTAATGAGGTATAGTCACACAAAATACTGACAGTCTCCATAAGAGGCACATTTGTATATAGTGTTTACATCAAGGGAGCACATTGTCTTGGTTTTTATAGTAATATCCACCAGGTAACTAATTAACCCAAATAAGTTTTTCAAAGAATATTTACGAAATTGATTTTGGATAGGGTTTAATGCTTTTGTCAACTATTTTGAAAAACTAAGTGTAGGTGACCGACACATTGATAGATTTGGACGTAACGGGGTATTAAGCTTATGAATTCTCGATAGTCCATATAAATTAGGATACATCGAACCCATATGTTTTCATAAATTGAATTTCTCTTTGTTACTAGCACCAATGTTAAGCAATTTCATGAGACTCAAGTTGATTTATCTTTCTAATTTCCGTATTCCATTAGAGTCAACACACTGCCGTAAATTTGCTTACATCACCGCCAACGGATTCCATTTTATATTTCTAATCGGACTTATTCATAATAACAACACCTGATCTTTTATCATATTTAGCCGTATTAGTATCTTCATTACTTCACAATGATTTGAAATGCTATGAAGTAATACGCTACACTGCTTTGTTCCATTTAAATGAAACTGATGTGCTATATCGACTAGTTTGGTACATTGAAGCATTAGCTATACGAAAACTAGAACTTCCTTTATATGTTCAAAAACAATTTTTTCTTACTCTTGACCTATCCTGGTAATACTGATTTGTTATCCAATGTGGGAATCGAATCTGAAATCCTCAGTCTCCGTGAGGACACTTAAGATCAAGACTAATGAGTCTGTATCCCCATACTGATTTATAACTTCGTTGGATTAGTTTTGTGGAAGTTGGTTTCCAAGTTGTAGGATGTATTCGTGAAGGATTGATTTCAATTGAAATGCCACCAAATTCTTATGTAAAGCTCAGTAATAATTTACAACTGTTCAAGCAGAAATTTATACATCACAGTTTGAAATCGTAACAATGACTGGATGTTTAGTGATTTAATCTGTTAGTCGAAACTTTATTATTTAATGAACATATTGACTTACTATTGATTGTCAACATTTATCACTTGTTATGGTATATGTTCCTTCTTCATCTTCTATGTATACTTCCAGATTTCATAACTACTATTTTGGTGTATGCTACTTATCCTAACAGATATAAGTAGTATGTAGCAGCAATCGGAAGTGGGATGCTTGATAGCATAAGACTGAGTTGAAAAGTATAGGAAGGGAAACAGAGAGCAACTAGAATAACAACATAATTGTAAGAATCATGAAGTCAGTAAGGGACAATTGTGTAATTTCTCGTAAAATAATAAATAGCTTTCATCCACCAAGTCTTCGTTCACTACTCTATTGGCTTTAATTCATTTATCTTTCCATTGATGTTTAGGACTGCTATTGATCATTATCTTTTCGGCATATGTACATCCTGTATGGATTGCTTCGATCGTGCCATAATGTCATGCGCATTATAAGTAGAGATGAATGGTGGCTATTAGTGATATCCATTACTCACGTTTGATCCTATTTTGGACTCGTCATCTGGATGTAATCGCTGATCACCGTCCATCTTTGTCTATAATACTGTTGACTTTGTCATTTAATTTGACAACAAGAAATTTATGAGAGTTTTATTTATCCAGAGTATAAACAGTATACGCGCATATTAACTGATTTCACTCTTGATTAGCTGGTTTGGATGTTCATGCGAAACATTTTCGTCAGTTGTTGTTATCTCTCAGTGTTAGTCACAATTTAGAGAAGTTATCTGTGTTTAATCAAATCTGTGCTGGTAAAGTTAATAGTCAATGCTTAAACTTTTAAGTGACCAAATTAAATTCAGTGCACGTAGTATAAGTGCACCAGTTGTTCCTGAATTTCATACAATTTTTTTATTTGTGGGAAACGTGAATATCCAGCACATGAAACCAATATTTCATTATTTTATGGAAATTAAGCACGAAGCTGAACTGGTAGAAGATCAACCGAGTGTAAAATCTGTGATGATTTACGCCCTAAAGTTAATTCATCAGATTAGTTCTTACACTAATTCGTCTTATCGTGTCACAAGTATAGTAGGAGTACTTTTGTTAGTTATCACATTGTCTAGAACAAATATTATAAGATGTTACTTGTCATTACAGAATGGAAATGATAGTGTTAAGTGTGTTAGATACACACTTTTAAAGTGTAGATTGCACAAAAATTTGAACCAGTTAAAAGGCAAGTATCTAAATATTCTATTCATTATACTTTTCAATTTATTGAACCTGTTATAGACGTTATTACCTCCGGAAAACTCATGTTCTCGCTTGACTTTAACTCTTTGTTTACGAGTGTAGCTTTAACGGAAACGATTTCTTATATATGTGAGTATATTAACTCTAACAACATAGATCTAGGTTTGCCAACTGAACACTTAAAAGAATTATTGTTACGTTGTACCTTTAATGTCCAGGTGAGTTTCAAAAATGAAATATATAGACAAAGAGATGGGATCGCAATGGCGTTTCCATTAGGTCCAATTCTAGCAGACTGATTCATGGCAAAACTAGAAAACGACCAACTCAGTTCAATGATCAATCGATTTCACCTATACGTAAGATACATGGACGATACATTTGTCGTTTGTGACGAGTTATTGATAATTATCTACAACTAGAGAAAGTAAGATTAAAGCAAAGAGCACTGAACAACAAAACAATGATAGCAAGTAAGAGGTTAAACACTTAAAGTTCCGATAATCTCACTTGTGTAGTAAGATACACTTGCAGGCGCTAGAGCATTTAATGCTTCTTCAGAGGAGTAAAAGGCATTAATTGAGCGAACAAACAATGGGAGAGAGTTTAACATACGGATAGTTTGAGGAAAATTATTACAGAGCCTAGAAAACTTACAGGCAAAGTAATTCATATAGAGAGAAGATCTAGAATGTGTTTGTTTGGCTAAAGACAAGGAGTTACGAATGTCGTAATGTGAGGCTTTAGCGTATTGAATCGCCTGGCTGGATGTGAAGGAGAGTTTGTTAAGTATTTTGAAAAAGAAGATAAGGTTAAGTTTGAGTCTTCTCTTCCATAAAGGGTCAAGCCCTAGTTTACTACACCTCGAATTATATGTCAAGACATTATCAGTTCCAAGAGTACGAAGTGTAAATCGTCTCTGTACTGATTCCAGACTTAATTTATCCTTTATGCAGATGCATAGGCCCCAAATTTCATAGATAGGTTGAAAAATTTTAAACAAAATAATGGGAATTCTCTACTGCCATATTTCACAAATGATGAGGGAATCCCGTCAGGTCCACCGTCATAGGACTTTTTCAAGGCAGTTATGGCCTGTATGATGTTGGAGGGTACGAACTCAATTTTCGACAGGTGTCTGCACGTCAGCATTGGAAATGTATTGATGCAGCTTTCAGTTCTAGTGTTATAGCACTGCCAGAAATGCTGACTGAGCTGTTCGCAAATAATATCGGGGTCATCAATAATTCTTCCGTTAACTATGAAGAATTTGGTCACGCCAAGAGAATTTGACTTCACACGCGATTTAAAAAGCCGAAGTATTGATAATTCTGGGTTCTTATTACCTAGGGCTTTATTTTCTATATTCATAAAATACTTGCGTTTAGATGAAACACTCTTGTCAATTAACTTAAGTATACTCTGTAGTGTATACAAGCCATTATGCTTGTGGTAACAGTGTTTTAATTTCCTCAGTTTTCTTTTAAAAGTTTTAAAATTATTCTGGCCCCTATTGGCGTTATAAAACACATGGCTAATAATTGGAGCAGTGCAGTCGAGGCAGTGTATCAAGTTGTGGTATAGATCAGAGATCGCAAT